CCCACACTATACCTGCTGGTATTGAGAGTACTTGATGGGGTCCTTTTCAAACACTTCATATGTCTGAGATTCCAGATTGTCCATCAGTGGCTGATGAATGAGAGGAAAAAGGCAAAGTAAGGTTAGCCAGTTTCTGGCAAGGACAGTGCACCAGCCAACCCTTCCCACTGCCTCCTGAGCCTTGATAGGTTTTAGGGCACCCCCTCCTCTCAGTGTACTCTAAGACCCACCTGGAGTGGGGACTGCAGATAATCTTCGTAGCCCTTGGCAAAGAGTTCATAGGCATTGGGTGGAGGGCGGTTCTGGCTCAAGTATTCCAAGTACTGGAGATAGGAGCAGAACTCCTTCTCTGAGTGGTGGTTGGTGCCTGTGATGATGAACTGCACTTCCAGCTGTGAGAGAAGTCAGGCCATCAGACACAGTCCTCAACCAAGATTCAGAGATATTATTATGGTGTATGGCCAAAGAGCCCTGGCATAAAATAAGGTCCAGGCCACAGTTTTCCAGCCCAACCAACAACTCCAAATTCTAACAAAAGCAGCCTAAGGCTTCAATTAACCTATACAACCCTCCACTGTCATATATGCATCATCTTGGCTTGGAGGGCCACATGAATCCTCACTGTAACAGCTTGAGTGAAACCTTCTGCAAAGTTTTCATGAAATCTGGTTCCTTTCAAAATGTTTCTGGGGCTACTGCCATTGCCTTTTTTGCTTTCAAGACCCCCAACTTTGCTGAAATTGCTCTCCAGAAACTAGAGAGGAAAAGAATCAACCTCACAGGAAAAAAGCATCAGACATATTGTGAATAAGTCCAGAGGATTAGCTGGGGACCTTTTGAACCTTCTCCCACTCACCTTGAGGAGCCGGAAGATCAGCCTCTGGTGCATCTTAGAAAGAACAGGAAATCCCTTCTTATTGGTCAAGAAAATGCTGGTGGGGAGAATGGCTGCTTTGATGGGCTCCCCAAGCCAACGATCAATGACATGATTAGATGGGAGATCAGCCCCAATTTCAAGAGCTACACAAGGGAAAAGAAAGACAGGTCAACTATTGCTAGGCAAGAAGCCTTTCCTTTTGTGCAAGATCTGTTCACTCTTAAAAGGAAGGTAGACTAAGAGAAAATAGCAGAACTGCTCAGCTACTAAGTATATAAGAAATTTTTGATTCTTATTCACAGGAGATCAGAGGAAGGATTCCTATCCTGGACTCTTGTGGACTTACCCACTGCAATCCTCTTGCTATAGTCACACAAGGTCCGGAAGTTGTGCCACCTGTCCAGAGTCCAATACAGAAAAATACAGTCAAATACATATGGCCCACCAGTCATCATAGCTCAAGGAAACCACCCTACAGTTTCCACCCTATACTTTCCCTCCCCCTACCCATTATCCTGGTATAGCAGCAAATGGAGACATACCACATCCATGTCTTCTCCTCTCCACTGTACTCTTCTGTGTGTGTAGCTGGTGCATTCTCAATGATATCATCTCGCAGGTCCTCTGGTGCCACCAATGGTACCCGCATCCAGAACTGCACATTAACAAAAACCCTAGTTAAAATTCTATTTTGAACTTATTGGATCCAGAAAGCTTCCTTCAATTAAAAAGAACTTGATCCAGATCTCAAATTAATCCTCTTACAGGCTTTTCACAATTTGTGATTATGTGTATGTATCTTGTGTATATTCTTACGTAAATATCTGCCTTGTCCTTTATCTCAACTGTTAAGTTTCTGGAAATAATTATATATTCTATATGTTTTATAACTCTATGCTTAACACTTTTAGATGGGGCCATGCAGCACTGACATTTCAATCCTGCCAAATGTACCCTTTACTGAATGACTAGGAACAAGAATGTACTTAGCACAGCCTATCATAATTGCAACAGGACAGGAGGCCCTCTGCCATACCATGGAGGAGTGGTGGCCAGTGTGGATGTGGTTGGTCAAAACTCTGGCCAGGTTTGTGTTATCTTCCTGATTTAGTGGCAGAAGGAAAGCTGGAAGACCCAAATATGCCCCAAAGTTCAGCTCCTGTAACATAGCCTGGAATAGAGACCAAGAGAAAAAGGTTAAGAGCTGGCTTCAGTTGCAGTACAACAAATGCACTAATTCATGGGGGGAAAAAATTGCTCTTCCCACCTAGCTTGATTATAGACATAATCTTTAGAAAGATCCAGTGAAGTTAAACAGTCTTACCGCCTCTGAGTTCCTGCGGATCTTCTCCACTTTTGAGTCTGGACGAATCCATGGAGAAAGCTTTCCCACAATTAGCGTATTCCAGTCTGCACACCCCCACCCAAGAAAGACAAAGAGTGAGTGAGGTTCAGTACTTTACTTGTTCAATGTTTAGTTCTTAACAGGGAATAGAGAGCTGAGCTGAGAGAGAAACGCAGATATGGGGTAGTCTGATGCAGAACAGGGAACTAAGGCTTTTAGCAGGTAAGCAAGAAGAAAACAAGAGTTATTTATATCCCACAGACTAACCAATATATCCAAGTCAGGAAAGGAGGAGAATGAGAGCACTGATAAAGCACAAGTTGTTACTGCCTCTGACAATTAAAGGGCATATGGGATGGTCCCTACCCCTTCCTGACAGCAGTAGGTCTGATCGTGTCTGGGGGCCCGGCCGATTCTTAGCAGGTTCCTGAGTGAACTCCCTCTTGAAACGCGGGTGGAAGACAGGCATGCAGAGGAAATCAAACCTACAACCGCGACAGACCCAGAATTGTCATGTAAAGAGAGCAGCAGTGCTCAGAGGTCCAAGCAACTGGATTAGGCTATCTCGATTTTGCACAACCCTTTCAGCTGCCATCAGTCACCCCACTGGACTGCTGAGTTCAGCCCACCTTGGAGCATATCACTTTCTCTGCACTGTGCCTCAATTTCTCCCCAAAACACAGGCATAAAAATGAGTAAGGAGAAAACATGAAAATCCACGCCAAGTGGATTGTCACTGGTTTTCCAGGATTGTCAGATCCAGATCTGCCCCTGTACTGCCCATGCCTACCCAATCAAGGCTGGTATCTTCCCTCCTTTGCCCCTCAACATTTCCTCCCACTCTCAGACAATAATCTCGCTCTCCAGGGCTCTGAAGGGCTGTACGCCCTTTTTCGGAGTTTATCTGACAACTCTCTCGACTTTTAGGCTCAGTGACCACACGCACCCAATCAGTTTTTTTTTTTTTTTTTTTTACTCACGCTCCAGAGCCAGAGGCTTCTCCCCGGCAAGGAGTAATGGTTTCTCCTGCTCTCACCTTAACCCACTCCGACCCCCTCACCCCTGGCTCTCGGGAATGACTAGTCTGCCCCTCTCCGTCCCAGAGTTCGGACCCCGCATTCCGCTCGCGGAGGCCCAGGCCCTCACCCCTGCTTGGCCACATGCCCCAGTGTGTCGGCTATTTCGGGGACGCAATTCAGGTCCCTCCCGCTGGACACGCGGCTCCCACCGGCACCTCCGACCGCCATCGCCGCCATCTTTTCCTTCGCGCTGTCCACGCCGGGAATCCTCGATACTAGCAGCCAATCACAAAGTCGGAGGGAAAAAAACCCGGAAGGCGGGACGAGTCTCCTTAACAACCAGAGCGTCTTGCACGGCTCTAGAGCAGGAGGCGGAGGGGTGGTGAGTGGTTCTTCCTGCCAATCCGCGGGCCGCACCGTGACGTACAGTGTGGCTCCGGAAGCTCCGCCAGTCTCAGGGTCTAGTTTTTGACGATCTTTAATCTCTTATTCTCCCATAATGCTTCATGTATTCGTAGATTTTAGTGAAGAGACTGCACATCCCATGAAACCCTGAAGTATAAGCTTGAAGAATCAACACTGAGAATACAGCTATTGTCTCAGGGCCAGTGGCGCAATGGATAACGCGTCTGACTACGGATCAGAAGATTCCAGGTTCGACTCCTGGCTGGCTCGGAGAAAGTGTAGCTTTATTACACCCCCCTGTGTAATAATCATTACTTTTAATTTTTAAGTCTCCTCTCCCTTCCTTTCCTTGCACCCTTTAAAGTTTCTTCGTTATCATACTTCTATTTTCAAGTTTTAATTTGAATTCTGCAGCCATCTTTTGTCAACTTTTCCCGTTACCTAATCCAAAAGTGGTTATTGTGTCACTACTTAGGTCCATCTGAACCTTGGGAAAAACCGGGTTAATGGCTGTTGTCTTCAATTGAGCTACGGGCCTTAGTATATTTTTTAACTGTGCCAACTCAGCCACTAATTCCTCGTAATTCTTTATTTCAAACACAAAAGGCAAATAAACACCACGCGCGCGCGCGCGCGCACACACACACGCACGCACGCACGCACGCACGCATACACATATCCCTGAAGACAGAGAAGGAATTAATGGTGAGGGATTACAGAGGAGAGGAGTCATGGAGTCATGAGCTGTCTGGTGGAAGCCTGAGAGATCTCTACGTTTTCCTTTGTCAATTCCTGCTCAAGGGACAGGAAAGAAGGAAAGGAATGAAGCAAGGACAGACATGTAGAGGAGAAAGCGAGTGCATGAAGGCAAGGAGTCCAGAAGTGTTGAGGGACTGACAGTGGGAGTGGAAAGGAGAACACAGTACAAAAGGCTCCAAACAGGAGGTGTTGACGGAAGTTAGGGACCGACTGGCAGGAAGCCCTGAGAAAGAGAAGTCTGGGGGTGATACCCAGAGTTGTGGGCCTCTCCGTGAGTGCGACAAGAAATGAGAGAAGCCTGTTGACGGAGGAGAATCGGGGTGTAGGTTTGGGAATACTGAATCGGACGCCTAGGGGGCGCTGTGTAATAGAGAGTGGGATGAACAGCGATCTGAACCAGACAAGATTTGGAAATCACCAGAAGAAATGCAGTGACTGAAGCCATGAGACTGGATGAGATCACCATGGCCCGTGGGGAACAGAGTTCTGGGAAACACTAAAAGGGTGCGGATAGGATAAGTAAGCTCTAAGGAGCCCTGGGTGCCCCAAAAGGATGAAAGTCTGAAAGTCAAAGAACTAAGAAAATGCCCATGAATCCTAAAGGGATTGGATGTGCTTTTGTTCCATCTTAGTCTTCATTTGATTCCTGTAGTCATTATTATTACTAGACTTTATTTCTTAGAACAGTTTTAAATGTACATAAAAATTGAGCAGATAGCCCAGCAAGTTCCCATATGCCTCCCCACAGCTTTCTCTATTATTAACATCTTAACATTATTATGGTACATTCGTTTCGATTCATGGACCAATACTGATACATTTTTATTAACTAAAGTCCATAGTTTGTTCAGAGTTCCTTAGTTTTTACCTAACGTCCACTTTCTGTTCCAAGATCCCATCCAGGATACCAGGTTACATATAGTTGCCATGTCTTCTTAGGCTCCTCTGGGCTGTGACAGTTTCTCAGATGCTCTGTTTTCAAAGACCTTGACAGTTTTGAGGAGTACTAGTCAGGTATACTGTAGGATGCCTCTTATTGGAATTTAATGGTTTTCTCATGATTAGACCAGAATTATGGGTTTTGGGGAGGAAGATCACAGAGGTAGAGTGTCATTTTCATCGCATCATATCAAGAGTACATACTGTCAACGTGACTTATGACTGTCAATGTTGACCTATATCACCTGGCAAGAAAAGTATTTATCAGATTTATCCACTGGAAAATTACACTCTTCTCACTTTCATCCTGTACTCTTTGGAAGCAAGTCACTATGTACATCCCACACTTGAGGAGCAAGGAGTTAGGCTCCCCCTCCTTTAGGATGGAGTGTCTACAATACTTATTTGGTACTTGAAATTCTACCCTGCAGGTCTTATGAGTAGGTGGTTGTCCATAGAAAGTGTGTGAGTACTCTACCCACATTTTAAAAGGTAAACAAAGAGTCATTGAGGAGGCCTGCTAGTTCTCTGCCCTAGCTGTGCCCAGCCAAAGTCTGCATTCACAGAAGACTTATTAGATGTTTCTTCTTCAGAAGCTAATTATCTGGGTTGTGAACCATCTGTGCTCCTGGCATCTTCCTCCTGATGTCAAGCTGGTGGCTGCTCTGTTGGTTGTTAACTAAACTATCCATCAGTGAGAGGGAGAGGGGAAAAAAATCTATGGAACAGTGATGTCATTTTTGCCATCAGTTAAAATAATTTTCAAAAGAATTTGTGTAAAAAGGGCCTAGAATTTCTGACTGACTTTAAAGTAAGTTTAGTTGGGCTGAATTTCATTTGTTTGTGATGTCTTTGTTCTTTCACTGAAAATGGCCTCAGCTATCTGGCAAATATGATGCTGAACAGTTCCTAGTAATTCCATACCACATTGCTTTCTGCCTTTCCTAGAGCACTTTCCTGAGCCTTAAAAAGCAGCATGGATTATGGTTCTGCCAATATGAACTACAGAGAAGCAGAAGGGAAGGACTGAAAAAGAAATGGAGAGCCCTGCAAAGGGCTTGGCCCGAAGCATAAAGTCAAAGTTAGTGAAGTCTGTCTTATGCTCTGCTCCCTCTGCTCTGCCCTTCATGCTGAACTCTTGTGCTCAGAAGCCTGTCAATCGTTGTTATTGGCCTATGCTAGATGTAGGCCTTTCCTGGGGTGAAGATAGAGAGATGGTAGGACAGAGGGGCAAATACCCTGGGTGAGAAATAATCTTACTTTCTCCAACAGGAGCCAGTGAGGAACAGGCCAGAGCACTGGAAGCTTTTCTGCAAGGCAAAAAAGATAATCATTCCCAAATAATCCTTCCTCACTTTCAGGCCCAGTTCTTCTCCCTGATCCTGTTTTTATGTCCTTGCCTAAACACCTCCATTGCATGGCAAACCCTCCTTTCATCTTTTCTTGGGCTCCCCTCCTCCCTCAGCACTTGCCTGATCCCAGACTGCCTTCACTCACCTCCGCCTGCCAGCCAGCCTGCACCAACACCAGAATAATGGCCTGTCTGACCCTCCTACTGCTCCAAATTGCTTCTTCACAATCAAGGCTGTCCTCCAGCTACAAAAGTGGCAGAGTCACTGAGGCAAAATAATCTGTGCCAGTTTGCATTCTCTTCCTTGTCATCTCTATTATACAGTGTTTATCTGTCAAAATGAATAGAAAATAGAAACTGTCCTAGAACATAGAAAAAGATGGAAAACTACCCAATTTGTTTATGAAGCCAAAATATACTAATATCAAAACCTGTCTAAAATAGCATCCCTCTAAAAAAGACCCTACAATGCAATCTCACTTATTAATATACATGTAAAAATCCTAAAATATTTAAGATTAACACATAAAATTCAACAGTATATTAACATAATAATCACATACCGCAAGCAATTAGGGTTTAATTCTAGGAATTAACACAAGACTAGGTATTAGGAAACTTATTTATATAACAGGTCAAAAATAAACCAAAGAAGAAAAGCATTTGATCATTTTTAATAGTAACCAAAGAGAACACGGTAGTTCAATTCCATTTTCTATAAACATTCTTAATAGTCTTAATATTCTTCATATATAAAAACATCTACATAGATATATGAAGTCAGCAATTTATGACAAAATAAAATAAAACAGAGAAATCTACTCTCATCACTGTTATTTAATATTACTCTGAAAAATCCAAAACAATAAGACTGGAAATTTTTTTAAATGGGGTCACAACTTTTGGAAAGGAGAGGCAAATTTATCTGTTTGCAGATGATATGATTGTATACATAGAAAATCCATGAGAATCAATTCTAAAATGATGAAAATTGATAATAGGATCCAGAGAAATCACTTGATGTAAGACAAAGACAAGTCAAGTCTGTAGCATTTTATATGCTAAGAAAAACCAGTTAGAAGACATTGTTAATAAAAATATCCCAATAACATAAGTTAAATCATGGCCTGTGGAGCCAGAAGGCAGAGGGTTAAAGCCCTGTTCATTCATATTCTATCTGAACCTACCCCCTCTGGCCTCAGTTTCCTAATCCATGAAATGGGAATATAAATAATAGTTCTTATCTTATACTGCTGTTACGAGGATTAAATTAGTTAAAATAGTAAAGCACTTAGAACCTACCTGCACATAGAAGTCCTTCAATGTATATTAGTTATGGTGAGTGTATTCCCCTATTCACAGTGGAACAGCAACACCAACCATAAAATACTGAGCTGTAACCTTACTGAAAAATGTGAGGAAACTATATAAAGAAAATAACAAAATTTTGTGGTGAAATACAATGAAAGACTGGAAAAAAGTGGAGACAAGCCATATTCTTAAAACAAATGAGTCTTATAAAGATGCTGATTCTCTACCAAATTCATTTCTCACTTTTACAACAATCAATCATGACTCTAATGGAAGCTTTTGTTACTTGATAAAATGATTCTACCGTTCATCCGTAATGAAAATCAGACAAGAAAACAAAGAAAATTCAAAAAAAGAGAAAGGAAGGAATTTACTGTATTTTAAGCCCTTTACCTCAAACCCTTTATTAAATAAGCAATATATAAATAAATAAAGGGCTACAATGTGCCATGGTACAAGAACAGAATGAAAGAGCTAAATCAAAGCCCAGAAACAGACTAGTTATATGTGTATATGTGTATGTGGTTAATATGTGAATTTAATTTGTGATAATAACAGCAAATTTTTAAAATTAAAATATCATTGATATACAATCTTATATTGGTTTCAAATATACAACACAGTGGTTCAAAAGTTACCCATATTATTAAATCTTCACTCCCCTCTAGTGCGGTTACTATCTATCAACGTAGTAAGATATTACAGAATCATTAACTGTATTCTCCATTCTGTACTACCATCCCCGCGACTAATTTATATTGGGATTGCAAATTATTGTGCTCCTTTATCCCCTTCATCCTCCCCACCACCACCCCAACCTGTCCCCCTTGGTAACCACTAGTCCCTTCTCGGTGTCTATGAGTCTAGTGCTATTTAGTTACTTCAATAACAGCTAATATTTATTGAGGCCCTATTTTGTGTCAGGTACTATGAAAAGCACTTTACATTCACAGGAGTCCTGAATCTTCACAAGAACTCTGTGAGGTAGGAAGTGCTATACAAATATAGGTGAAGGAGCTCAGTCTTAGGTTAAGTGACTTGCCCCACCTAAGAAGGGATTTAGATGGGGTGCAAACCTAGGTCAACTGACCTGAGAGCTTTTGATCTTAACCTGAAGACATATCATCTATAATTTTCACCCTAGAAAGCTATCCTAGACAATCTTCACAAACCAGGACAAAGATTAGTTAAGAGAAATGCTTAGTGTAGTATTTTTTTTATGATTACAAAAAAAATAAAACAAGTTGGATATCCCATAGGGGTATGGTTAAATAAATTATCCATGCAATGAAATCTTAAGCAGTCATTAAGATCAATATTGTCAGAGAAACTTTAATAACATGAGAAATGTCCAATGATATGCCATTCTATAACACTGTTTACAAATTATACATACAGAATGACCTCGATATATGGAAAATATCATACTTTCCAATTTTCTGTAATCAGGTTTATTTTTATCTATTTGCTTAATTGGATTATCATGATATGCAATCTTTATTGGTTTCAAGTATACAACACAATGGTTCAACAGTTAGTTACACACGTTGTTAAATCCTCACCCCAACTAGTGCAGTTGCTGTCAACATAAGATGTTACAGAATCATTGACCATAATCTCCATGCTGTACTACCATCCCCGTGACCAATTTACATTATGATTGAGATTTTTGTGCCCCTCTATCCCCCTCACCCTTTCTACCCACCCATTCCACCCCCTCCCCCATGGTAACCACCAGTCACTCTCAGTGTCTCTGAATCTACTGATAAACAAGTTTATATTATATGGAAGATATTTTTTAAATGTGTGTAAAACCCGTGATCTCTCCCTGGTCTGTCTACTTGTTTACATTCTCCTTTCTTTTGAAGGCCTCCCTCCTCTGCAGGCTCTGTAGCTGTCCAGCCTTCCTCTCATATTTTTAATATGAGAAGTATCTATAGATAAAACTTACATAAACAAAAGCTCTTTGGAGTCCTTTAAAGTCATTGAGAGTAAAGGGGCCCTGAAACCAAAAAGATTGAGAACGCCTGCCTTTCCACCAGCTGCCCTCCAAGAGAATCTGATGTAGACAGGATTAAATAAATGTACCTCCAATTATTGTGATGAAAATTCAAGGCTTTGCATGACAAGCACTTTAAAGAAGTTGTAACAAAAGGCTGTGGGGATTTAAATGATAGTGAGACCCTTTCTAGCTGGAATGATAATGGGGCAGCAGAACCTCAGAAATATAGAATTTTATGAGAAGAGTTCTTGCCAGGTGGACAGAATTGTAACAAGCACAGGAAAGCATGAAAGGGCAAAAGAGCCCAAGGCAGGGAGGGGGCTTAAGCTACATGGACTGTACTTGGATGCTGTGCGGAGACCTGAAGTATTCTGAAAAGAGAAGTGACAGAATGAAGTGAAAATGACGAAGTAGGAAGAGCAAATAAGAATCATCAGAAAAACTGGTCTAGCAGAGGTGCATAAGGTGAGAGGAGGGACAGTTAGGACAATTTTCAGGGCCCAAAACAAAGACCTGAGAAGGGTGGAGCAGTGGCAGGGGAAAGATACCCAATGACCATGCTGGCTGGTCTCATAGGGTGGCAGGACCTTGGTGAGGTCTTCTGGTATAGGCCTTGGCCTCAGCTTTGTAGGCCCGGAGCCTCTATTTGTTGGCAGGCTCCTATGTCTCCAACACACCATAACACTCACTAGAGACCATTATTTATACATCACTGCCAATGTACATGGGAGGACAGTGCTTCCCAGTGGCAGGGATATTCATGTTATGTGGGGCATCCCCTTCCCAGAGTCAAGGGTAATCCAATCAGTAAACATGATAGTGCCTGAAGGGTGTAAGCTTGGATCAAGGGCATCAGAGGGTCTCAGGACAGCAGGTTCTGGAGCTACTGCCTGGGTTTATGCCAGGGCTCTTCAACCTACAAGCTTTGTGACATTACACAAGTTACCTGATCTCTCCACACCTTACTTTAGGTTCCCTTTTTGTAATATGGAGATGGTCATAGTACTTACCTCAGATATTTGCTGTGATAATTAAATTTTTACATGCAATTATTACATGCAAAGTGCTTAGAAGTCATGTCTGGTGTCTAATAAAATCTCAAGGCTTTTATTTTGAATAAATAAATCTAAAAACTTACTTGGAGAGAGTATGTAACCAGGCCTTTTTCCTTCCCCCAGTACAGACCCTCTATCCAGTGATCTAACTCATACGCCCCCTCCCCCCGGTTCAGTGTCTCTTTCAAGCAGGTTTAGGGTTGAATGAAAACCAGAATGCCTGTTGGCTAGTGAATTTTATGTGTCAAGTTGGCTAGCCTATAGTACACAGTTATTTGGTCAAACACTAACCTAGTGTTGCCTTGAAGTGTTAACATCTACAGTCAGTTGACTTCAAGTAAAGCAGAGAACCTTGATGAGGGCAGGGCTCATCCAGTCAACATTTTGCTCCTGATCCTTAAAAGCAAAAACTGAGGTTTCCCAGAGAAGAAATTCTGTGTCAGGACTGCAGCATCACTTCTGCTTGAGTTTCCAGCCTGCAGCCTGCCTGAAATTTTTACCAGGCAAAATTTCAGACTTGCCAGCCCCATGATCATGAGTTAATTCCTTAAAATAAATGTCATTATTTTAAATAAAATTAAAAATAAAAATATAATAGGTTTCTCTGGTGAACCCCGATCTTGCTCTTTGAATTGAATAACTCTTTCCTAAACTCTGGACTGGCTGTCTTCTTTCAGTTACATGTTCTGTCTTCAGCCAGTTTTAGTACATTTAGGTCTCTCTAAATTTCAGTTGTGTTTTTCTGAGACCAGGCCTTATTTGGTCACTTTGGCTGGACCTCAACCATGTGAATATAAACCATCTTTTAGGGTAAATTCTTTCTACAGATAGCTCATCTTGTCCATTATGAGCTGACTCCTGTTTTCAATGTCTGAAGGTGTAAAAACACCTGCCAATTCCTTTAACAAAATCTAGCCAAGGTCCTTCCAGATGGATCATATGGAGAGACTCTTCATGGGATGAGGGGCCCCAGAGGGAGGCTGAACACCTGGGAATCCCCTCTCCTTTGGGGAGCATCAGGCTGGCCTCTAGGGAGCCCTGGATTTCCTACTTGTACAGGCTGAGGAAGAATATAGGGTCACTCCCTTGGGAACCGATATTCACCCTTCATTGATTTCTTTCAGGAGACAGACTTTGTCCTACAGACCTGGAGTTTCCTTACGGAGAGCGATTCTATTCCAAGTTCTGGAGGTGATTTACTTTGCCTTTTATTATGCGAGAAGAATCAACAAGACTTGATTCCTGACCTGGTGTGTTAAAAGACAAGTGAAGAGAGATGTGACTATGAAAGAAAGGAGAGGTAGTAAATACAAATCTCTGAAAAGTGCGAGGTCGGCAGAGGTCCAAGACGCTAACGTCAGTGGTCACCTCCACATGCCCATTTGCCAAGTCCCCTTCCCGTCTGCTCCGCAATAGACACGCTCCTGCAAACCTGTCTCTCCGTCATGAGGAGTGGAAGGAGCAAGACCAACTCTGGGAGTGCTCCCTTAGGGTGGCATTCAACGCTCCTTGGGTCCCTTTCCCCACCTATGACAGTATTTTGAAAGAGTTTTGCTATCAAACTACATTCATGAGCTCATTAATTAATTTATTCTTTCATGAAATAACAAGAATATACTGAATTACTATAACACAAAAAAGGTAAAGACTTGAGCAAGGTACACATGCAATAATATGGCAAGTAAGCACTTTTGTAAAAGGGCATATAGGAAACAATGTAAATATCTGTCATGAAGGGAATGGCTAAATTATAATACAGCCATACTCTAACAGTAGTATGAGCTACTATCTATATGTTTGCATATTTTTAGAAAAAGGTCTGGCAACATATGTACCCCATCACTGGTTACTCTGGGGAGGTGGATTGGGATAATGAGGGGCTGTGTGTGGGGTGTGGGTCAGTTTTACTTTTTACTATTATATACTTGTTTGAATTTTTTTACAAAGCACAATTTTTTTTAGCTAATAAATGTTTTAAAAAAGTAACTTATGCTGGAGTGTTGTAGGCAACATTCAGCTTTCTTTAGGCTTTTGGAAACACAAGAAACAGCTGCTGTCCACCCCATGCCATCTGGGAGGCCAGCGCTGGGAACCACTGTGTTGGAAGACATTTTGCTTTTTCAGGTGGTTGGAAATCTAAACATTTCTTAAACCTGCTCTCTAGAGTCTTGATTGAAGCCATGGGATATTTTTCTCAAATTTCAATCATTTAAGACTAAGGCTTTCCTTGGTGTGTCATCTGCTCATGTGACTTCATGCACTGCTTACCCTTTCACTATCTGTCGCTTTTTCCAAAATTCTATCTCAAACTCACCCCACAAAGTCTGAATCCAATATGCCTTCCCTACTAAGGCTCTACCATATAATTCCCAATTCACTTCTCCTAAAAATGTTGGGGTGAAAGAACTATAGAACTAAACAGCATTAACTATTGGAGTTGTTTCATTGCTATTTGTTCATTTTTGTGTATGCCAACATTTGCTTATAGACACATGACAGGATCTACCATTTTCAGAAAAACTTGGTTGAGTGAAAGATTTTAATTTTTCCTGTAAACCAAACCAACCATCATTATTTGCTCTTACCTTAAGAATGTCTCAAGATAGTCTCCCTGGAAAGTGGTTTGGAAAGCTGAGTAGGCTCTTCTAAGTAACAGTAGAGTCCAGCTTCTCTTCTCAGTCCCTGCTTTGACATCAGCAAGGGCCCCGCCTGGTTCTAAGCTAAGTGAACTGTGAAACTTGGTTCCTCAGGGTGATCTCTTCCTACTCTCTGCTTCCCGAGAAAGAAATAGCCTCAAACCATACCAGAGGGAACCAGGAGCACAAGTGGCTCATGTCTTTTTCTCTAATGGAGCTGGATGCCTTGCTGCTTTATTGTAACTGCCCCACTGAGAGCCAGTGACAGAATTCCCTACCCGCTTTAACATCTAGCGTTCTTCTGAGGATTATAGTTCTTCAAGAGCTAACCCAGATTTAATCCATTTCTGCTCTCCAAGAATGAAGCCTCTTAAGACTCCATGTGTGCAGGCTGACGCTTCTACCTCCTGCTCTTAGCGTAAGCATTATAGATCTGTCTCTATCTGATCTGCTCAGTATCCAGTCCTTACCCACCTTGACTTCAAAACTCTTTTTCTGTCTTTGCCCAAAGGAAAATGACTAACTTTCTAGGAAACAATATCATCACTTTATTCAGGAAATGCTCAAATATAACATATGGCTGACACTGACAAATAGCTGTATGTAAAGTTATATAAATCTGCTACATTTTCCAGAAGAGACTCCGTCATTGTAATTGAGAAGAAAGCAGGAGGGTGGCTAAAAGACTGCTGTTGCCACCAAGTGTCCCCACACTCCCCTGAGTGGAGGTGGTCCTTTTAGCAGGAAGAGGCAGTGCCTGTGCAGCAGCTAGGTCTCCTGTCCCCCTCGCCACGCTCAGTGGTAGGCCTTGTTGAACTCTTGGAGAGCCCAGCGCTTATTCTCAGTTGCTTGCTTGAGTTGGGTATACTCTTTTACCAGCCTGTCAAACTCATCCCCAAGGACTTCATAGGTGTTCAGGACCTGCTGGGACTTCTCCATGTCTTGCTCTTGTAGGCAAATGGCCTCCTCCAAACGGTCCCTATGAGGCCAGGCACAGAAGATACAATACAGCTGCCCCTTGAACAACACACAGTGATTGGGCACCACCACTCAACAGTTGAAAATCTGGACACAACTTTTGACTCCCCAAAAACTTAACTACTAATATCCCGGTGCTGGCCACAAGCCTGACTGATGACATAAACAGCTAATTAACACAGATTTTGTCTGTTGTATGTATTATATACTGTATTCTTACAATAAAGTAAGTGAGAGAAAAGAAAATGTTTTTTCAAATTGTCAATCTAAAAAAACATTTTCAATATGTTTATTGAAAAAGATCTGCATGTAAGTGGATCGGTATAATTGAAACCTGTGTTGTTCAAGGGTCAATTGTATAAGGATCTGGTTCCTCAGAAAGTAGACAAGAATGTGAACACATTAAAATGAATGAGTCTGGAGAGGGTGGGAACCAGTTCCAAGCAGTTGGACCAGGGTCTTGGGAGTCCTCACCTAATGAGACAGTGAACTTCCACTTTCTCAGCAGTGTAAGTGTCAGACAAAATCTTTAGCTCCTCCATCCTGACAGAGGAAAGAAAGACATGTCAGACAGAGGACTCCTGACAGCAGCAAATTAGGAATGGGACACAGTACCTGCCCATGGTCAAGGTGTGGGCTAAGCAGTAATGGGATAAACAAGATCACTCTGATGTCCTGAATAATTTATCTAACAGTAAAGCACCTATTTCAGAAGGCTTTAAAATAAAAGAATCAAGAATGTTGAGAGCTTCTGGGTAATCCAAAGGCTAGTATTCCTGTGTGACATTTACTGAATACCCACAAGGTGCTAGGCATAGTGGTGAGGAGAGTGGCATGAGGGCAAGGGATGGAGGGGGTGGCATGTGAGATAGAGTTCCTTAGACCCACAGGTCACAGCTCACCTCAGCTTAAGGATCATTGCACTGCACTTGATCTCCAGGTACTGGGCATTGATGTGGTTTAACTCAGACTGAGTCTTAAGCCGGTGCTCCTGCAAAAGCCTCTGCAGCAGGGAGAGGCAACGGAGAAGCACCTGGGCCCCCAAGAGGCAGGAGGAGAAGGGCATAAACAGAAGACAGTAGAAAAGAAGACAGACCAGAAATCCTTGGCTTCCCTGTAAGTGCCCATTGCCCTGACAAACCTGGGAGTAGGTGGCACTCTTCTTCTCCAGCAGCACCATCTGCTCCTTCTGCTGGCTCTTGGCCTCCTGGCCCTGCAGCTTCTCACCCACCAGGACCTCTGCCAGTTTCCACACCTTTGCTGCTTTTAGGGTTTTGCTGTCTGAATCTGGGCAAAGGGACAGAGGACTGGACAGGAAAACTAATCACTACTGCCCTTCTAAGGCCATTTTTCAGTGCCCCATCCTACATCTAGCCCTACAAATTCAGTCTTCTTCCAGGTTTTCCTCAGCTGTCCTGTTAAATATGGCTCAGTTCTCATAATTAGGTTCTCATCACTCTTACCTTTAATACCAGATTGGGCCCTTAATTTTTAAATCATAGAAATAAAGACAAGGGGAACACCTATTACCCCTAACTTCCCTTCCTATTCCATTTTTATTCTCCTGTAAAGAATGAGCTCACCCTTCCTTGCAGCAAGAGAACATGCCTGCTTGGTATCTTACTGAATATAAGTTCTCACAAGATTCCTTGCTTTTAGTCTACCAGCAAGGAAACAAACAAATAAGCATCTCCAATGCTTCCTAGCTTCTTCCAAACCTTAAATTTAAATACATTATTCTCACAAGTGCAGACCAGGAGCTCTGAAGGTCAACTGTGAGCAGAACACAGGGAGCTAGCGCTCACCTGAGTTGGGATCATGGTAGCAGAGCAAAGTGAAGCATTTCTTCTTGAGCTGCTCCTCCACTTCTAGCGGGAGCCGAGCTTTCATCCACACAAAATCCTACAGCCACAGAAGCAAAAAGAGAGATGCAAATAGCCTGTTGGAACTAGGAAGATCCAGTCCATAAGCACACACTGATAACAATGTCAATGATAACCAAAGAAAATGCATCAAGAGACATCATCAGGGAGACTCATTTTTAGCCTATCAAATTAGCAAAGAATATCTGGAGAGCAATTTGGCAATATGTACCAATGTGTGTATCCTCTGACCCAGTGACCCCACTTTGAGCACTAACATTCAGGAAATAATTATACAAAGACACAGACACATATGAACTAGCATGTTCATATCAGTGTGGTTCCGAACAGCAAAAATGTAGAAACAACCTTAATATCTGTCAGTAAGGTTAAACAAATTACACTACACCCATACAGTGGAATCCTATCAGTGATTTAAACTGATAATATAATAAGAACACTGAACACTAATTAGGAGCCTGGACACTGTTCTAAGAATGCCTTGTCAGGTATAATCTTATTTATTTATTGACTTGAAAAAAAAGTCCAGAATATTTAAGTGAAAACAGATTATATTCTCTATAGAAGCATGGAGGATATACCGTTTATGTCAAGCTGTTTATAATACTGTATTTCTTTCTTAGATGTCGTATTTCAGCTTTCTCTTTCTTCTGTGAAACACTTTTCTTATTTGAGTTTGACTCCTATGAATGTGTATCATTTTTACAAAGCAAAGCTTAACCAAGAAATGTTTAAGCATATGGGAGAAATTAAGCCATTTCACTTCTTTGGCCCCAGTATCTGCCCAACCCCGACCTCTGAGGGTGGCATGAGCTCCAGAAGGTCTGCTTTCTCCAGCCCCAGTGGCGAAGGCATCTCCTTCTCCTGGCAGGGACCTAGGAGACGTGTCAGTTCAGTCACGAGTAGCCGCTGTTCAAGGGTCTCATGAAACTGAAAGAAAAAAGCAAAAACCAAGAGGCTACTGTAAGACTTCTCCCACACCACCTCCTCTATCCTCACCAACAGGTTCACATATTTTCAAAATCCTCAAACATGTCATCCCTTTCAGATAACTTCTCAGCTGCCAGAGCATTCTTCTCTCAATCTTTCTTTTCACAACCCTGATACACATCCACCTCTTCCCCCATAACTACAGCCCATTTCTTTCTGATAACCATTACTCAAAGCTCCTGTTTCCCCCAGGCCATATAATCAGATGAAGCCATAGTTGGCCTGGTCATTCTTTTAGCTGATAAGCAACCCCTACTTCATCTCTCCTGCCTCACCTTTTTGTCCTCAGAAGTTAAATCTGTTTCTTGTGTCTTCACATAGTAGTCCACAAGCAGCTCTTGAATGACTCTGTGTAAAATCTCAGACCTCAACCATGTTGTTTTATGCAGTCGAACTTCCTTCCATGCCTAGAAAACCAAGAAAACCTCATGTAGGAACCTCTCACTCTTGGAAGGTTTTTTCCTTCCTCCTATCATCCCTTCTCCCAGGGCTCTTACCTGAGCCTGTTCCTTTGCCAGGGTGAGGCTTAAGCCACTTTCATCCATGTGCTGTGAGAGACTCAGCAGTAGTTGGCTGAAATGTGGGTTTTGTAACAGGTCCTCTTCACTCAGGTTACAAGGAGGAAGCTGTTTGCTACACACTTAATGGTATGTCCCCCATTGGGGCAAAAAAGCAAAGAAGGTACGGACTTTTACTTAATATAATTGAGCATAACTCTTAATACTCACTTCCAAATAACCCCTAGGTTTCGACAGGCAAGTTTTTTAAATCTAATTAAATTTTCTAAAAAAATCCACAAATAAATTAGAAGCAATACTCAAAGTAACAAGCATTATACTATACACAAAGATATTAATCAAGAATTAGGGAATAATAAAACTAAGATCTTAGAAAATGGAAATATAGCTGGAAAATATTAGACAAAGAGAATCAAGAGTAAGGGAGCCTTCGGAAGGGATCACAATAGTACCCAACACGCCTCATTCACACAGAATATAACTAGAGTTCTTCAGGAAGGGAAGAAAAAAAACACATTGTAAAGCTCCAACTTTGAATGTGATCTCTAGTCACATAAGCAAGACTGAGAGAAGGTGTACTCTTATGACAATGTAAAAAAATAACTAACCAAATTCTCCTTATTGTAAAAAGTTGAATAACCCATGTGGATGCAGAACGGCTCACTTGTGAAAAAAAGTTAAAGAAACCTGGGATCTTCTGGTTATTCCATATGTTCAAGGGGCTGTCTTTCCATCTATTTTCCCACATGCTTTCTGATAGGGTCTTCACTGTTACTCCTTCTTACCACTCAAAATTTTTCATTCTTTGGAACATAATAAAGCCCTTTTGGAGAATAAGAAATTGGTTCTTACCCCCTCAGGCATTGAAGGATCAATACAGAAATGGTCAAAATATGTAAGATTCCAAGTTCTTGAAGTATTCAAAGATATAGAAAGGATCTGTAATATGGAAAAAATTCAAGAGATGGAAGGATTCAAGATAGAAGGCTCTGAGATTTTGGAGAACCAAATATGAGAAAATTCAAGATGCAGGTAGGAAGGAAGCCTTCAAGGAGTTTGCTGGTCACTCCTATTTTCAGCACAAGCATGCTGACACAGCATGAGAGCATCTTGAATTTTTAGTCCACTGCATAAGAAGATACTCAACAGGAGTCGCGGTAACTTGTTTCCCAGTAAGAGAGCATTTAAGAATCTTCATGTATTCTAGTTTCCCCAGAAACTTAGGCTTCTGTTAGAGATACCATACTGGTAAACATTATAAATCCTTTTTATGATAGGAGACAAGAACATGGATAAGACCTCTGGATAAGTCATCAAACCTCTTGCAAATGGCAACCCTTACCTTGTTGGAGTACTTCCATCCCTTCTCCAGGTGAGCAGAAATCCCCAGATGTCACCTGATTTTCCTAGGATTCTTTTTTGTGGAACCCAGGGAAAGAAAACAAAAAGATGAATAAACTGGCTGGCTGCTCCAGAGAAAACTACCTTGGATTTGAATTTCTGTTGTCTACAAGCTGAGGAGGAACCTCAGGGGTGCCTCCTATGGGCAAGGATTTATATCACATATGTTGGGTCCCAAGATCTTACACAAGTTTTCTGGACAGACTTTAAGTGACACAATATGTTGCTGTTTTAAGCACAAAGATGTTTCTACTTGTTCCAAACTGTTTAAAAAGGAGCCTCCATAGGAAAGACTTCCCAATTCAATAGTGAAAACAGGAGGATGTTGCTCTTCTCCCATGTCTAAGTTAAAACTGAGCTTCTTTCCAGTTATGGGTGAACTGGGGCAAGGGGGGAAAAAATCAGTCTGCTTTTTTTCTTCAGTCAAATAACTAAGCTATCAAATTCCACAACTTCCTGTGCTGCTTTAACTTGTCCCTTCATCTGTGATCTGTTGGTAGTTTTTGATCATTAACCCTAGAATCATCCTTCAGGAGTCACAAATCATTCCACACTTGAACAACTGGTTTTCACATAACATTAATAAAAAGCAGCTAAAGGAAACAGCATGACAAGAAGACAGACAGGGAGGTCAGTGCCAAACGTAACGCAAAGGGGTAGTTAATGCGGCTAGGCCAGGATGTGAGCTGTTGGTGTTTGGCCAGGACATGGAGGAATGACATCAACACGGAGGGGCAGTAAAGACTGGCAAAGTTTGGGCTCTTGGAGGCAAAATTTTTCCCTTGACATTATTTTCCATTTCTTTACTCCATCCCCTCCTCTCTGTAAGGTATCAAACTCCAAAGGGCAACGGAGCCTCCCAAAGCAGAACAGACACCGAAGGTTATTATGATTTAACAGTTGATGTTCACAAAATATTTGGTTTACTCCCTCGTTTTACAGCAAACATCAAAGTTAATTACTCATTTGTTCTGTAACATGGTCTAGAGGTGGACGCGGCTGAGGAGTCAAGACATCTAGGATTTAATTTGCAGCTCAGCCATTTTACTGTGTGAATGTAAGGAAAATACTCTTTTGTGCCAAATTTTCCCCCACCTGCAAAACTGAAATAACGATTCCTGCTTTCTATGAGACATTAAGAATAACACAGTCGGCTTGTCAACAACAGCCACTAGCTAGTTAAGCTCAGGATTTTAACAATTCTGTTTATCGTTAATCCAAGCCTGAAAATAAGTTTTGAAGGCAAATTTCACACACGGAAATGAGGACCAACCCAAATTTCAAGGGTCAGCTGTTCCTCCCTCCCTAGACAACTACCCACTTGGGGGTGCTTTTCTTAACCCTTTTTAAATATTACAGGGCGTGAACGGTGTCGACAATCAGGCTGGATTGTCCACCCTCTGCACTCAGACGTGTTAAAACGCTGCTACCGGGACCCAAGCATTTAAATGTTCTGACTCAGGCGTCTTTTAAATTCTCAGAGCTGTCTTCACACGCTGCACTGAATGTTAAATTGATTTTACAGGTATTTTCACAAGATGTGACCCTTAGAGGGCCCGAGATGAATCAAAATGCGGAGCGGGCTCCATGGCGCCTACTTCCCTTCCATCTGGCAGCCAAGGATTCCCAAGGGCGAGGGCGACCTCGGCGGCCGGGAACTGGGGACTGGCCGGATTGACCCTCCCAGCGCTCCTCCCTGCAGCACCGCCCGCCGACCTTCTGAAGCAAACCTGCACACCGTGGGGCATCTGAAGCTCCCGAGGCCGTGTGGCGCGGGCTGGGACAGGCTGGCCAGCAGCGTCGACACCCGGGACCCCGCCCGCGACCAGTCTCCGGAACCTCTCGCTCGAGCCCCATACAGGGGCTGCAGGAAGCTGGGCGCCGGGGGACAGCGCTGGAAGCTCAGGGGATGGGAAAGGGCCGACGGAGCACGTCCGGCAGCGCGGGAGGGGCGGGGGGCGGGGCCCTCGAGGCGGGAAGGCAGGCCCCGCCCCTGTCCGGGCGCGCCCCCGGAACCCTCAACCGCCCGCGAAGTCGGATTCTTGAGGCTGGGCTGGTTAAGGGAGAGGCCCCGAGAAGGCTTCTTTGCCACGTTTCCTGGATACCCGCCCTTGTTGAGGGCAAACGTTGAGAAAATGGTAATAATTGCTAACATTTATGGAAGGCCCGCGATGAATCCGGCACTTCGTCAAGCGTTTTACTTGCCCCGCCTCTCCTCGTTACAGTCCCCTAAGAGAAGTCACCGTCGTACCCATTTTACAGAGGGGAAAACAGGCGCAGAGAGGTTAAGCGACTTGTTCAAGGTCATGACTCCCGGAGTTAAACCTGACCCAGTGTTCCTCTGAATCTCCCCAGACCTGCTGCCTACACCAGGCCTGCAAGTCTCCTCACTCAGGCGTTGCCCACCAGCCCTACCCCGTGGATTAGAGAATCCCCTACTCCCGCACCCCGAGACTCCTCAGCCCTTTCTTTTCTCTCTCATCCTTCATTCACCTCCCCCGATCCCCCTCTTTTTTCTTTAAACTATACATTTATTGTTTGCTTAACGAGAAGTCTGGAGCTGGAGTTTCCAAGGTTTTTTAAAGTAGCTCCGTGGTGTCGAGGTTCTTTGAAGTTCTCTTTGCATTTCCCTCATGGTCACAGGGCAGCCGCTAAAGTCCAAGAACTATATCCTCTCAACAGTGTCCCAAGTGGGAAGGAAGGGGAAGAAAATACCCTGAAACTGAAGAAAATCTTCACAGCAGACTTTCCCATAAGCCTTATTGGCCAGACTGGGTCACCTGCCCACCCCTAAACCAATGAGCTGGCTGTCTTCCATTTGCCCCGCCAGGCCCACATTCTGCTCCTTAACATCCTGTGGAGACTGGTAAGGACAACCTGTGAGGACATCAGGGTTCCCATATTCCCTGACTGGTTTCAGCCAATGGGGGTCCCAGCAAGAGGTTGGAGGGGAGAAGACAGTGATGGGATGAGGGGACAATTATCCCTGACTTACTCCCTGGGCTTGACCGCTGGCTGGCTATGTGCTTTGACCAGAGGTTGTTTATTGCTCCTTTCAAGGCAACTCCCAGCTCACCCTCCATATTAAATCCCATCCCTACCCTCTTTTGAAAGTTGCCAAGAATCTAATCATTAGGTAAATTATTTCAAAAATAATACATGGTGCTAAGAAAATTGCACCAAATAAATTGCAAATCTCTGGCATCAGAGAGGAAGCTGATACGTGGGAAGGTAGGGAGGACTCTCAGGACTAGGTGTGCTAGATGGTAGAGACTTTCACCTTTTTGTTTAGTACCAACTTAAGAATTCTATTAGCAGTACATAGAAGAATAGTGTGATCCAGTGCAGAAATTCTTATATCCTTGGTCATCTCGTCAGCTGCCACTTTTCATGCCTAATATTAAAGTGCTGTCATTTTTTCTAAGGCTTTTAAAAATCATGCTTCCTCAGCTCTGTAGTGCAGCATCATTAAATATCAGGCATAATGTCCCTAACAAACGGCACTTGGAACAAAACAGCAAGCATGCTTTGGTGACTTAATTCTGATCAGAAATCTACTGAAATTTCATGTCTCATATTTGTCAACTTTTCTAATATGGTACTTAAAAGCTTTGGCTACACAGCTCTAAAATGCTTGGGCAATGAGCAGGTGAAGGGTGCAGAGCCTTCAGGTATGGGGAGAGGGAAGAGCCATGGGAAGCCTTGAATTGGATTAAACCTTCATATGCAATTATCTGTTTCATCTCTGTCTCTAACAAACTGTATGACCTTGGGCTTCAGGTTCCTCATCTGTCAAAAGGAGAAAATAAAATATTTCTAGCTCTTCCAGTCTCACAGTATTGATGTAATGATCAAATAAGATAATGGCTGAGAAGGTGCTTTGGAAAGACTATCAAATGAGGTGTTTTAAAATAGACACTTACTAAGCACTTACTAAGTGCTTAGGAGAGACATAAAGATAAATATGATCCAGTCCCTCCTGTGAAGAAGTTCATTATCTACTTGAGATAAGATATGTACAGGAAAAGCAAATGATCCAAGGCAGCAAAAAGGTGTCAGAAGAGCAGTTTAGATTATAAATACTAGAGAAACTTGAAGAAAGTACAGAACTCTTTCTGCAGGATGGTTAGGAAAGACTGTGAAATAAATCTTATCTTAGCTGGGCCTGAATGGAGAGAAAATTTGGATCATTTCAAATAGAGCTAAGATCTCAGTAAATGAAGGCAGAGACAGGGAGTCGAGGCTGCATTCTGGGTCCAAGAGGAGACTGGACCAGTCGAAGTAAAGGACTTTATAGGCCAGTTCTACATAAGACTGGAAAGTTGGGCCTATAGTTAAATCTGCAGCAAAGTACTGAAAAAGGATCTGAAAATCAGACACGACTTGGTGTTCTTGATCAAGAAAGAATTGAAAGGCCCTAGAATTCATTATTTCTCTCTGCCCCTCCCTCCCTTTCTTTTTTCCAGATTTTTTTTAGAAGACATTTATTTTGAGGTATTTTGGCATACAATATTTAAAGTGTACAATTGGTTGTTTTGACATAACTATACATCGTGAAACCATCACCACAATCAAGATAGTGAACATGCACATCACCCCCTAAATGCTTACCTATACCCCTTTGTAATTCTTTTCTGCAGCTCCTCCCAACCACTGATCCAATTTCTGTCATTTAATATCAGTTTGCAGTTTCCAGAATTTTATATAAGTGGAATTAAATAAACGTTAATTTTTCTTTGGTTTCTTTCGCTCCTCATAATTAATTTTGAGATCATACATGTTATTGCTAGTATCAATAATTCATTTTCTTGGTTTATGCTTATTTCTGAAAAGTAGTACAGAATTATTTTTTATTGCTGAGAAGTAGTACAGAAACCTTAATTTGTTTGGGTTTGCATTTAAGAAGATGCTTCCTGCATGACCCCAAGGTACCTATCTCAGTGCTTGGCATACAGAGGCACTTACTTGTTGAAATAATTACTTTTCGACCACCCCACAGTGCCAATGCCTTGTATAGTTTTGTTTGTTCCTTGGAAAGCTTTGCTTTTATAGGCCTATCTCTTCATCATTGTTGTTCATCTCACATTCTGCTATGCCATTTGCAAAATACACTCACTCACTTCTTAAATGTTCTTTAATGATAAAGCCAAGAACATGCTCAAGTCTTCCTGAGCTATGCTCCAGCAGGGAATGTGTGTGTGCAGGGAGTCTGGAGAGATAAATTAGGTATAACGCCTGCCCACAATCTAGCTCTAACTTTCTTGAAACATTGCTCTTGATCAAGTATTCAAAAACTACTCATGAGTTTCTAACTTGATGATAAATGTAAATGGGAGTCTGAGAAAAATTTTACTTAACCTTTCAGACTTGGACATGTCTTTGCTGCATTGTTTAGAATTACAGAGAAAAATGAAAATTTTCTGAGAACATTGCAGGGACTCTGCCTCCCACACTCTAGCTAGGACACAAAAGGTGCTCCAAAGATAGAGATTTCAGGTGAGTATTTATTGCTTCCATACTAAAAATTTGGGTTTAAAATAACCAGTTTCAAAGCTAGGATGTTAAAATAGTCGTTGGACCGTGTACCACACTTAACTGAACAATTGTTTAGAAGCAAAAAATGCCTTACCACTTTGAAAGTATCTGAAGACATGTAGCAGGTGTGTATTATGGTATTATGAACCTAGAAACTAGTTTCTGGAATAAAAAAATTTATAGGCAGTCAAGAGATTTTAGAATTATTTTCAAGGGTGTTCACTGGAAAATGAAGGTATTCAGAGCCACAACTATTGATGATTAAGCTAGAAAATTTCATGTCCACTGTAAGTACATGATTTAAGGAGAAAACAAGTCAATAAAGAAAATATGTAATCAACCTATGACATCAAATGAAAAATTTAGAACAAATGTTCATAATGTGCCATTTTTTGTGATTGCTTAACACTTCCAAGGGGATTTCAAACCCAGCCCCTTGCAGCTTCAAGAGTTGCCTGCCTATTCATGGAAATTTGTGTTATAGAAACCAAAATGAGTCTGGTTTTTCTTTGAGACACCATTGTGAACTAGTATATAAATAAGGCCTGATAGGAAATTTGGCTCAAAAAATGGGACAGATTGAAACAATTTTTACCAAAGGAATATGAGACAGTAAACTTCAGAAGACAACTAAATATCATTTTGAAGAGCTAGACATGAAGCATGTATGCAGTTCTTGTTCTATAACAGAGCAAGGACTGAGTTTGCTCTTAAGAGAAAACATGTGCCAGGCTGATTAAGTATTTGCCTGGATTTTAAACTTATGATAACACTCTCTTATACTGAGTTGCATATGAAAGAGATTTTTCTCCTTTAAATTGTATCAGAACCAGTGGGAGAAAGACCAACCAAAGGGCATTTGGAGTTTCATGCTTGGGAAGAACATACTTTGTACATTTTTGAAATGCCTCTTAGGATTAAGGTGTTCTGTCCGAAAAGCAAAACCTTGAGGAAGTTAGCAATTTAGTACACTTTCTATAATCTGTTTACCAAAGAGAAATTTTGCTAAAAGAATTTACAGTATGCAACCATGGTAACTAAGTAGATGAAGTATTACATCTGGGTTTACTGTAACTGGGTTGCCTTATTACAAAACCCAGGCACAGGTCATTCTGAAGTGGATGCTTTTCTTGGGTAGCATTTCAAAACTAATTTATTGATCTCTTAATGGTTAACAATGGGAGGCTCTATGGATGGAGACCCCATCAGGTTCATCCAAATCAAAGGTTACTGACTCAGAAGTACTGCAGCCAGGCAGCTAAGTGGTGTGTGAAGGGCACAGATGAAAGAATGGTAGGAACTGTGACAAATGAAGCAGACAATACACGGAACAAAGGAGCAGCCATCACTCAGTTCCATCCAATCGCTGCCACATGGGAATGGAAATACAGTGACATATCTTCTGATTATTCAAAAACCCTTAGAGACCCAGCTCTTCATATACAATAACCTGGTTTCTGTGTGGAATCTCCTGAATTGTCAATGTTGGAAACTAGTTATTTTATCTGTAACAGCTCATTATTATTACAAAGGCAGTACATATGGGAATGGAAATAGTTTAAAAACAAGAAATGTAGGCCAACAACAAAATACTCTCACCTCAGAGATCACCACTCTTAAGACCTTTTACTGAATATCTTTTCAGATCTTTTTCTCACAAATACATAGACATTTAAAAAATGATTACCCTGTACATGTGGTTTTGGAACTGGCATTTTGTTAATGATTTTGATCTTGCCATCTCAGTAAATTTTCACATCTAATCCAGTTTATATTAAAATTTTTCCAATTGACTCTAAATATCTTTTAAAACAATTTGGTTAAACCAATAAGGAATCCGGGGCCATGCATTGTATTGTTATTATATACCTGAAGTCTCCTCAATCTAGCAGTTTTGACTTTAAAAAAAATCATACTTTCTTGCTAATGAGAGTTGGTCAGTTGCCTGCAGAATGCCTCACCTAGATTTGTCTGGCTTCTTCCTCCTAGCGTCTTTTGCTTTGTTTCTTTATTCCCAGTGTTTCCTGTTATCTGTGTTACATCTAATACTTCCTTTGGGGATAGAAAGCAGCTAGAATATACAGTAGTTTGGGCTAAGTATTTGCCTCACACTAGAACTGGTCTACTTATTGGTGATACTAAGACCCATTCCAGAAAGTGGTGATGACTGTCTGATCCCTCCAACTTGGTGACACTTCTGGCCTCCAGACCAAAAACTGATAGTGTTACCTGGCACTATATGAATGTCCAGTTTTCCACCAACCAGTTCACATATGGTTTTTAACACTAATTAATCATCTTTGCCAGAAGCAATAATTTCATTAAAGTTCACAGAATGATGCTTTTTGGATTCTATCATTCTTTCTATATTTATTAGCTGGTGGTCTTCTCCCCTCAACTAGGATTGAAATTAATATTATAAAAAATAATTCCCAGTGGGCCAAATTCCATGCTTTTGGGGACAGGACTTAGCCTACTGGCTGCCACCTCATGATGTACTATCTCAGCCAAAGTCTCACCCCAGTCAGCTATACCCTGAGGCATCAGTCTTTTGTTTCTAACAGTCACTTACTTTGCACTTGTTGACATGTTGCTTATAATCTTCTCAAGGCATTTTATGTGTGTATTTGTCTCCCTGGTTAGACTGTGGTCTCAGGGGCAGGGACTCTCCTGCTGTGTATTTCCTCCACTTTTCTTAATGTGCTTTTTAAAGGTACTTTGGCTACTGCTAACTTCAATTAACAAAAAAAGCACCAGTAAGAACCAAAAGTTTTCATTTTGTCTCTTGTGTTCCCTGCCTTTTTCACTAAAACTTTCTCTAATTATCTATCATAAGGAAGTGCTTCTTGCTTATCTCATTTACAGTTTACTTGTGCCATGGGAGTCCCTGTGATGGGGGCGGGAGAGGGGAGAATAAGCTCTTGATTAATCTTTAAAAGCCGCCATCATTTTCTAGCTGTGTGACTTTGGGGAAGTTCCATCGTCACGCCGTTTCTATTTATTCAGTAAAATGAGGTGACTGGATTATCTCAAACATCACACCCTGCTTAGCCCTAACTCTCTAGGATACACGGCTAACTAGTACCTTTTAGTAGATATTCCTCCTAACCCATCTCTCCCTGCTTGGACAGCACCTTGGCAGCCTTCACATGGGTCAGCACTATCATTTCTAAGCTTAGGTGAGATAATTCCCACAGTGGACAGAATGTGCCTCTGATGACTCTCCCACTATCACAATTAGACTAGTCAAAATGGTCTAATCTCATGTCTCAGTAACTAGTTTTTATTTTCAGGGTCAGACCTTAGTCCTTTAAAATCAGGGCCACGCGTGGCTATTCCAGGGGCCCTACACAAGCAATTGGCACAGCCAGAGGCCCTGTCTCAGTCTTCCATTCCTGCCAGAGAGGAGAGGACGGAAGGGACTGAGACTGGTCAGACCCGTCCTTGGGAAGCCTCACCACTAGGGCTTGGAATGACCCCAGGCCAGACCTGGGGTATGGGTCCTTCTAAAACACAAAATGAAGTAGCAATGCTTTAGCTCACCAGTTTTGTCCAGTCCTTTTACCTGTCCTGCTAGTCTCCTTTCTCTTTTTACTCCCTTCTTTATAGATATAATTTCAAGGACTTCATCCAACTGGCTTTATATGCCTGAAATAGCTTTCTCTACCTCCTCTTTGACTGAGGACAGTCTCCAGCCTGATTATAAATGGAATCTTACCATTTCCCTACCTTGAGAGTTTCAGATGGTGAAGGGGGAAACAGGTCTGTAAGGAGTTAAGGCTGACAGAGAACCACCACTGGCTTTACTCTTCATAAACCACACTTGGGCCTGTGATGAACAGGGCTGGCCAGAGCAAAGAGCTGAAGTCTGCTTTGAATGCTTGACTTCCGAACTACAACTCTTACCTAAAGAGACACAAAATGGATCCATAATTCTTCCATCACCCCTTTCCCCATCACAGGCCTAATGGCTGTTCGTGAAAATCTGGTGGCAAGTTGGTCAAACAAGGTCTACCTGTTGCTGTGTCCTTGGTATCATCCCATTCATTGTTCATTATCAACTGTAAATATTAAAAAGAACTATTACAGATGAACAATTTCCCAGTCAAGAGGAAGAAGGGAAACTCTTGGAATGCACGGTACACTTGGGAGCCTGCCTGCAATGATGTGGGGCAGCTGGGGCTGCTCTTCTGCCATGGCCTGCCTTCCCTGGGCCTGTCCTCATCAGATGTTAGCACTTGTTTTTCATCAGGAAGGAGGGAGACAGTAGCCCCAGTGACAGGAAGAGTCTTTGGGAGCCCTAGGGCTGGGACAGATGAGGACTGACCTAGAAAGGAATCAGCCAATCAACAAAAGATGGAGGCCAACATCAGAATAAGCAACAAAGTCAGAGTGACAGAGTGAACAAGAGCCCCAAGAGTAAAATAAGTGAAGGGATGTATGTAAAAGCTATACATGCTTGTCTGGATTTCCCAGGCCTGGAGCAGCCTGATGAGAAAATTCCCAGTCACAGTCTTTTGTTCACTTATTTAATAACAACAGTTCAGAAAGAGCAATCCCAGCTGCAGAACAAGTAATCTAATTTCAGAACATTTAACCCTGTAAAAAAAAGTGCATTTCCCCCCTCTAGCAGTTAGTGGTATGAAACTGAACTCTTTACTCTCACTTAGAGGCCTCTTCTATGTAGTTCCCGGGTTGGCTGGCACAGTCATCTTAGACTAACCCCTAAATGTGGAATGTCTGTTTCATCATTTCCAGTATGAAACTCTAAGTGACAGAGAATGAAGGATCTAGATTACCAGATTAATTTGCCTAAAACCAATTCACGTTGAGACAATTAGTTTAAAAGAGCTATTTATCAAATCTGCAGCATTTCAAAGGGATTTAGCAGATTTACCTTTCACTTTTTATTGCTGTTGTCTATGTAACCATTAGTTGTTAGTCAACTGAATATGCCACATGCCTGTTCATTCGTTTAGAATATGCTGGCATTTTAGTAGCAGGAATGTAAAGTTAGACCAGAGCATCAAAATCATATTGAGCTCTACTACATTTTTCAAGGCATCTAATTTATGAAGGAACACTGGATTAAGAAACACAGAAAATAATACACAAAACATCTGTACCGATTATATTTATTGCTAGAAACTTTGAACTTTTTAAAAAAGCCTTTGAAAAGTAGGTAACATAGAAAAAGACATCCATAAAGGTAGAAAGAATCTCATCATTCACAAAGTGCTGCAAATTTGATAAACTTATGTTGCTGATAATAACTCGGAAGCACTCTTAGATGAATAGATATAAATCCTTGAAATACCCACAGCATGACAAAAGAGATTAGAACACCTAAGTGGCTATAAGAACACCCAGAAAGGAATTGAGCTTTTAGCAAACTAGTCATTAAGTGAAATGAACATTAAGCAAACAAGTTTTCAGTGAATTGGTTTTAAGAGATCTAGCTTTAGGTGAACCAATTTCAGCCAAACTGACTAGAACCAAGTAAAAATGTTTTTGCTCCTCTGGCTCCTCAGAACCACAGTTTGGGAGTTGCAGTGAATATAATCCTGGATCTCGCTGATAGGTGGCAGGCCTGGAGTGGTGGGCTGTTAGGGAACCTAGTTAAGAGTGACTGGAGAAGATGGAGAAGGGAGAGTCAGTGAGTGAGTGAGTGAGTGAGTGAGTGAGTGAGTGTGTGTGTGTGTGAATGGGTCCATGTATGCACATACAGGGCTGAAGGGCTCAGTGCACTTAAACCTGGGAGTATGCAGGGAGCATGGCTAGTCTGAAGATTCCTAGACATCTCATCTAGCAACTCTACACTCAAAGACCCACTCATTATCTTCCCCAGCCGAGAAGAGAAACCCCATACAGGCACCCACCCAGCCTCCCCAGGCCCATGTTGAGTCCCTGAGAAACAGGCAATACAGGCAGCAGGCCCACCCAGAGCCGGTTCCTGTGCCCAGTAGGGGACTGAGCAGCTCTCGTAGTCCTTAGGGAGAAGGCAGGCAAGAAATAACTCATTAATCAGGTCCAGAATTCCCACCTCTTCATCCAAACACAGTGGTAAGATGCTGTGGTGAGAATCCAGCTGACCCCATATGCAGGGTCCAAAGGAGTGAGGAGCCCCCATGATGGCCTTTCTTCTGATAACCCAGAACCAGAGCATTTCCTGACTTATGCACAAATGTGTACTGGAGACAGAGACCAGAATCAGACCTTTAGAAAGTACTGGAACCCACCTGTGTGTGCCTAAGTATATGCTACAGCACAGGCTCACATGGAAGGAAGGCCAGTCACCCACACAATGGCCATTAGAAGGTTCCTCCTCCATAGTCCATTTGGAATGTCACAATCTTTGGGTCTCAGTCCCTCGAGGCCCTCCCAGTGGACTCTTGCCAGGCCTGCAGAGTGCATCCTGTGCCCCGGCTGACCTTGTAGGGGCACCTGCCAGAGGACCCTGTCATGACGGCAGCAACGGAGCCAAAGCTCAGATATAGTTGGTAGGGGGCTGCCGGGCACTGAGCCGCTGCATGTGGCAGCTGTGGCAGAGCAAGTGCCCGTCCAAAGGGAAGCAGCAGCAGCCGTCCTCGTCACTCAGCTGCATCCGGCAGTCCTGGGAACAAACACACCAGTTCACCTGGGTCCGGCGCCTCCAACATCCTGGGAATCTGCCCTGCTCAACACCAGACTTCAGGGACTGGAAGGAATGGGTGGGGCTGGAAAGGATGGACTCCCGAGTAAAAACCCAGGAAAATAACTTGGCTGGACGGCAGGTGTCGCTGCTAGAGCAAAAATCATGAGACAGGCCCCATTTCCAGCAGCTACCAGAAGTCCCTAGATTTTAGGAGTCTTGACCCAGGGGAAGCCATATTCAGAAAAGACTGAACAACCAGAACCGAAAGTGGCAGGAAGACAAAGAGACTAAAGGTGGGTCAGAGCACCTTCCTGCTTTTCCAAGCCCTATCCCTCTCCTACAGCCTGGCAGTTCTAGGATTTGACTCCTCCCCCAGTCCCACTGCAATTCTCTTCCAGGAGCCCTGGCTCCCCGCACTAACCTCACAGTGGTAGCACTCAAAGTGATAATCTCGGTCCATGGAGATCACCCTCACAATGTCCTCACAGCCCTGAAATAACGCAGATGCCATGGGTGAGGGCAGCATTCCACCCACCCTCGACAGGCCCCTCTAACCCTCACGAAAGCCTCTGGAGCCCCTCTGCCATCACCCCTAGCTCTGAGAATGCCAACCCTACCAGGCTCTCCCCTCCCCTTCCTTGGCACTGCCTCCAGGAGGCCATGTCCCCTCTCGGAGCCTTCTCCCAGTCCAGGAGCTCTGGCCTTACCTACCTCTCCCAGCTGTGGGGGAACTAAAAGGAAGGGAAAGGGGCAGGCAGCATAAATAAAGTAGGCTAAGCTGGGGACAAGGAGATCCAATACAGTAGGGTTCCTCATTGGCTTTTGGCTTCTCTCCCTGGGCACACCCTTTGTATGCACAGCATAAATCATTTCTTTCTTCTTCCTAGCAGCCCTGAGGATTCTTCCCACCTTTTTCCAGCCCCTATGTCTGGGATCTGGTGACCTTGACCTTAAAGAAAGTCTCCTCCTCTGGGCTGGGAGAGAAGAGATGGAGCCTGGGCCCAGTGAGGCTGTCAGACACGGCCAGGCCCGGATGTTAGGGTCAGGGTGGTGACCCCAAGAGCAGAGTCACACGGGAATCTTCGCAGAGTACATTCCTCAGCACCACCGCCTCCCATGGGAGGCCAGCAGCATGTCCCCGTCCCTTCCCCAGGGGCAGCAGCACTGGCTGCCTGCAGAAGAACCCAAATATGCTGACCTCTGAGGGGAGGATGGGTTGGCCACAGGCTGCACACTTAGGCGCATAATTTCTGAAAGAGAAAAGGCAGAGATAAGCTGAAGTTGGGGAACCCCTGAGCCCAGTTTCACACTGCACCCCAAGGGGTGGACTCACTTGTGGTAGTCGGTGACACAGTACACCTGGTTGGAGAAGTCCACTGTGAAGGGGATGCCATCCAGGCACTTGTTACAAACGATGCATCGGAAGCAGCCTGGGTGATAGGACTTCCCCATTGCCTGTAGGATCTGACTCATGGGGTGGGAAGAGAATCAGTCTCCCCGCAGTCCCAGCTCTCTAGCTACCCATGCTGTTCCCTACTGCTCCCACTACACTCATCCACCCCCCTTCTATCCTTCCAGAACAATGCTGTGTAATCTGAAGGGACTAAGGAGTCTTAACATGGCAGCAGAAGCTTTGGAAAAGGTCTTAGCAAACATCCAGGTCAGTGGTTCTCATCCCTGGCTACATACTAGGATCCCTTGGGAGCTATTAAAACCCATCAGTGCCTGGTCCCACCCAGAAGTGTTCATCACAGTCTCTGGTGATGACCCAGGCATTGGGATTTTCTTTCCTTCTTCCCAGGTGATCTTTTAAGAACCACTGGTCTAATCCAATCCCTCCTCCTTACAGAAAAGAAAACTGAGTTCTAACTGGTACCAGCCAGGAGGAGAAAGGAGATCAAGACCCAGGACCCCACAGCCCTAGCTCAGGCCAGAAGGCTTGGCTGTGCCTGCAAAATCAGGGAGAGACCAGATCACAGAGGCCTCGGGATGGCAGGATTTGGAGTTGGGACTTGATCCCATAGGTAGAGGAAGCCCCTGTCAAGAGCTGCTCTGGGGAGGATGGGGATGAAAGTGGTTAGTCTGGTGATAGGTTTCCTCCCCTCCCCTTTTCTCAGCATCCATTTAGTCCCTTATGCCACCCCTGGGGACCTCAGCCTCATAGAGTCTCTGCTGAAGACACTGCTTACCTTCTCCAAAATCAAGTGACCACAGACACAGCATTTCTCAGCTGCCTCCTGAAACCCTGAAAACTAGGGAGAAAGAAAAGATCAAGGAAAAATATTGTAAGAAGGACCTGATGGTTAGAACCCCAGTGGGCCAGATGGTTGGAACCCCAATGGGCCACCAAGAAGGTCCTAGTACGGGCGTCAATTCCAGGCCCAAAGGACTCCCCACTCACCAGATAATCTTCCTCACAGTACACAGAGCCGTTAACGCTGTAGAAAGCCTTACAGCGCAAAGTTCGCCCTGAAAGCAGAAGAGAAGGGGCTGGAGCCTATCCAGGGCTTCTCTGCTCTGGGGTCACTGCTTCCTGGTGTTGCATGATGGATGTAAATCTGGACTTTGGTGCTTGTCCTTACCACTGTATGTCCTCCTCCCCACACCAAGTCTCATCTGATGCAGTGCCCATTTGCTTTGCTCTCATTTCAGTCAATTCCCTTCTTTTCTGCTCACTGCTCCTCCAGCTCCTGCCTCCTCAATAGTTCCCTCTCACCCAGCACTAAATGAGTGCCTTCCTCCCCAGTGCCTGGCACGTGGGAGCCATCTGGGAGAGCATAGCCAACTAGAGGCTGGAGTAGAAGGTACAGGAGCTCCAAACAAGGTGTTGTGCAGGACGCAGAGATGCCCACACCATCATAGGCCTTGCCCTCTGGGACCTTTCAACCTAGGAGTCTCTCTGCCTAAGCAGCGCTATCCTGCTCCCCTAGTGTCCTTCCAGGGATAGGCGCTACAAGATCGGAAGATATTGAAGTCACAGCTGTAGACAAAGAGCTTTGTTTGGGAGCAAAGTTGGTCCCCTTCCTGCTGTGCTAGGCTGCTTCCCCAAACATTGAGGGACCCAGAGTCTCCAGGGTCACAGGCAGCCCATGATCTTCAGGAGCAGACAAGGTAGGACCATTCCTCATGTGACCAACACCCAGGTAGTGCTCCAGGGTGCCTAGATTGTCAGGTTTGGGGGAGGAGTGAGAGCAGGGTGGAGAAGGGGCAAGTTTCCGACCTCTGCCCTCTTCTCATCAAAACCTCCACTTCCAGCTCTGCCCAGTGGTTTAGAAAAGCTGACTTAGGAACTCATGAGACACAGGGGAGTAGAGAGAGGAAAGGCAACATACCCAGAAGAGGCCCTATAAACAGAGGGACTGACCAACATATGAACCTAAAGAGAACCAGGCAGAGGCTGCAGGGATAAGAGAAAGCCAAGTGCTGGAGTCAGACAGGCAAACGTAGGAGATTAAAGGTTTAGCAAAGAAATCAGAGTGGGCAAGCAGTGGGGAGGGCAGATGAGGGAGGTGAGGGAAGGGTTGGGGAGTTAAGGCTGCTGGGAGCACCCTCCACCCCAGGCGGGCCTCTGGAGCTAATAGCAGCAGGCATTCCTGGAGCGTGATGTCATCAGCTTGGCATGGCCCCGTGGCCTGCACTCTAGCGAGGTGGCTGAACTCTGACCAGCCAAGAGAAAACCCCCCTCTCCACCCCCAACAGCTCCCCATTCCCCCAGCTCACCAACCCCTCCTCCACCCTTCCCACATTCCAGTCTTTCACTGTCGCCCCAGGCAACTTGGCTGCCCAAGACCAAACCCCACCAAGGAGAGGCCTAGGCCAGGCGGCTGTCCAGGCTGGGCAAGCAGGAGAGGCAGGAGAGAGGGAGGAACAGAGGGGAGGAAAGCAGCTGAAAAGAGGAAAGGGAAGACTAACTCCAGCAAAGCAGACCCAACCTCGGGGTGGGAAGGCCAGGTAGAGCACAAAGAGGGGAAGTAGAAGAAGGTGGGGCAGCAGTAGATGTCCAGACACATGGTGGGGACCTGACAGCTGCTCTGTGAGCAAGCGAAGAGGCACTTGTGAGGTGTATATGTGCAGGGAGTGCATGAGGCCTTGGGGCCCTGGTCCAGGACTTGGGGTGCACTCACCACAGGAGCAGCAGACAAAGCACTGGGTGTGGTAGAGGCTGTCCAGAGCCTGGCAGGCGTTGCTCTGCCCATAGATGCCTTTGTTGCACTTGATACAGGTGCCTGAGGGAGAAAAGAGATTGCCAGCGTCACACCCCACTTACCCAATTCCAAACCAGGGATTCCCCATCTTTCCTGACTACTCTTTCCTGATTGTGCCAGAGGACCACCAGTCACAGCCTCCCTTTGATGGGTGCTTCTGGGAAGAGAGGGTGATGAGCAATGGGCTGCAGCAAGGTCTTGGCTGAGCAGACTCATTCTTGTTTACTGATTAAATCAACAGACATTTTTTGAGTACCTATTTTGTGCCTAGCAAAATGATTGTGCCCAACACTGTGGACTTGGAGAAAGTCAAAGATATGGTCCCTAGTCTTCAAATGCTTAGTTTCTGTTGGGGAGAAAAGACTAAACAGGCAAAGTATGATCCTTGTTGCACTGTGTGGAACAGACAGAGATGTCATTCACTAAGGTCCCAGTAGCAGACTCGAAGGAAGTTTCTAGAGAAATCGGGGCAGGTCCAGAAAACCTCTCTGGAACCTCAGTTTCCCCAAAGTAAAATGAGCGGCTATTTAGCTATAGAATGACTTCTCACTGCTCCACACCTCCAGGTTTCCAAAGTTGGAAAGAAGGATCTGGCTCAGCAGGGAGCCCGGTGCAGAGGGGACCACGTGAGCATGACTCCTGTGGGGAGGTGGCTGCTGAGAATGTAGGGTGTGTTCCAGGGGGCAGGGTGGAAGAGTGGCAGAAGCCCTGATGCCTCCCCATCGTCTTCTACCTCAGACAGAGCAGAACTGCTCTTCCCCGACATCTCCCATTAGGGCACACACACCTGGCTCCAGCACCAGCCCTTCCTGGGCGTGCTCTTCCCTCCCCCACTCCTAATTCCAGGCCCATGAGTGAGGGCTGGGGCCTGTCTTTGGGGAGCAGATCCCAACGAGCCCGTCTCGCCCCACCCCACCTCTCCCCCTCGGCACACTGCCACACTCCTGCCTGTTGGGGCCCATCCCAGTCTTTGCCCAGGGGCTTCAGAACCCATGCAGCAGCTGCAGCAACTGATGAGCCCAGGCCTGCCCTGCTCCCACCCTCTGGCAGCTGGCAAGGCTGTGGCCAAAGAAAGGTCTCCTATCAGGGGCAAGAGAAAGAAGGTACTCAGGCTGGGGTTCTGTCAGAGGAGGCAACCTGCCCCCAGAGAAGAGAGGCCCCCACTCTGGAGTCAAAGTGTGGCCTCCCCTTGGGAGTGGAGATCTGCCCCAAGATTGCCATGCCAGGGGACCCTGTGAGGGACCTGTCTTTGGGAAGCCTTGGACATTATGGGAAGACAAGAGCAAATGCTCAGGCATAACTGCCTCGCCTCCTGTAAGCCAGCATATCCATACCTAGGTTCTTCCTGCCATTTTATTGCACTCTATCTGAGCTCCTTTCTTCCAGTTGGCTCTGACGGCTTAGCCAAAGACACTTCTTTCCACCCAACAGTCACTTCTTCAGGGTTTCAAAAGCAAACTGCTAAAAGAATCCTGTCACTTAGTCTCCTGTGACCAAAGCATCATTTGCGATGGGCTTTCCTCTCTCAGGATGGAGGGAAAAGGATGTCAGAATTGGGGTTGAACCTGGTAGGGCCATTCCAGCCTACCACCCCACAACCTCTGAACCTCTTCCCCAACCTCCCTGGGCTGGGTTCCTCTCCCTAGTCACATTTCTAGCCACAGAGGTCTAGAGCATGGGTTACAGGGCAGGAACGTGGATGGTAAGAAACATAGGGAGCTGCCTGGAAAACCCAAGAGGCCCACAGCCCTGGGGTGAGATCTTCACTTTTCTGTTCTTCCTATCACAATCAGGTTAGCATTTCTTTATATAGTCAGGTGGTGCCTGTGGGTCTTCACTAACAGACCCTTCAAGATCGCAATATCCCGCCCTTGGATAAGACAAGTAATCAATTAATACATCTTAAAGGTAACCGCTTGGAGAAGAGCGAGCGACCAGGTTTCCTTAACAGCAGCAGAAAGTAAGGGGCTACACCTAGCCTGAATTCTGAGCAGGTTATAGTCCGAACTGAAGACTAGGTTATTTCTGGCAGTCACACAGGGTCGTGATCCATCCAGCGGTGAGGTTGTCCCGGTGGTCACGGCTTCTGCCCTGACTTCCGCGGGATGAGAAAAACAGAAGCTGACACCACCAGGTCTCCGCTTAAATGCCCACGCACACACGGAGCCAGGATGACCCGAGAGCCAGCAGTGGGGTCCCTGCTTTCCGTCCCAGGGGGCTTCATCCTCCTTCCCAGGTTGTTGCCCCACTGCGGCCAAGGCTCCGCGAGAGTTAGGAAGCAGTCCCCCCCACCCCCGCGGGCACCTGGAGCGCCGGGCAGGAGCCGGCACGCACGCGGCCCGCCCGCCCCGCCCCCACCCGCGCATTCCCCGAATTCCTGCGGGCGGAGTCTGGGCTCGGGTGGGGGCGCGGCGCGCAGAAGCCTGCAGGGGCACCGCCGCCAAGGGGGGAGGAAGATGGGGGATGCTCTCACAGCCCTACTTGGTCCCTTCCCTACGAGGCCTCCTACGACGAAAAACGTTGGCTCTAAAGCTTGAGGATCTGGGACTCACGAGATAATCCGGGGGGAATAAGGAGTCTCTGGTCCATCTGTAACCCGGAGTAAAGGGAAATCCTCCTTGCCTCTTCCCTAGCCCGGCATCTCTGCCTCCGACCTCCCAGCGCCGCAATTTTGGCAGTCGGGGCAGTGGAGAACGGAATGCGGTGACGGATCCCTTCCCGTCCCTAACCACCTATCTTACTCACCGAAGTAGTCCTCTCTGGCCTCCGCTTCCCGCATCCGGGCCCGGGCGGCCTCTGGAACGAAAGGACCCGGCGGCTCCTCGAGACCCGACGGCTCAATCCCCGAGGGTTCCCCGTGGGCACCAGCTTCTCGCCCACCGGTGCCCACCGTCAGACGCAGCAACGCTGTTAGCTCATCCTGATATCGGGCGCCCGCGGCGCAGTCCCCGTAGCCGGTCACCGAGTGTCGTCCGGGTTGCGCCCCTCGTCTCTCCAAGGGCCCTATTGCTCCCACTCCAGCCCCGGCCAGAGCTCCGGGGCTGCCCAGGGCCGGGGGGTACGAGTGGCGGCTCTCCTGGCAGCCGAACCCTGCCGGCCGGTGAGCGCACAGTCGGTCCAGAGCAGCGTGAAGCTCCGGGTAGGCGGACGGCACCCCTCCAGGGGAATACCCCGCCGGAGCCCCAGCCAAGGGTGGGCCGAACAGGCACGGCCCGGCGGGCAGGGGACTCCCGTGGCGTTGGTCATAGCCCATGCTGATGCCGCTGGTACGATTGCTGCAGGGTCGGCTACCTCCGGTTCCGCCAGCCCCCGCCCCGTCCAACAGCAGGCTGCCCCGGGGGCTGGACGGCTTGCTCGCGTCGCTGGCTGAACTACTGGCGAAACTGGAGCGGGGACTGAGAGCTGGGGCCGTGGTCTCCAGCCGAAAGTCAGGGGGCAATGACTGAGGTAGAGGCAAGGCTCGGGTGGGAGGCGGCCCCCCGGGGAAAGTGCCTTCGTAGCGCTGTGCCTCAAAGGAGCCTCGCGGGTTCCGCTCAGTGTCCAGGGAGCCTTGCTCCCGGGCTGGTTCCAACGGCTCATCCCCAGGTCCCCCAGTAGCTCCGCGGGGCCCTGATTTCCTAGCTCCCCCCAACCCACTCAAGCGCCCCTTGCCTGGCCCGGGGGTCCCATCAGACCCAGACCGGCTAGATTCTCCTTTTTTGCGGCCGAACTTGGCGCTGCCGGAGTCCGAGAGTCTTAACTTTTCCAGCAGGCGACTGGCTTTCTCCCCTAACCGCTCCATGCCCTCGGTCCTGGGGCCTCCAGCCCCCTCCCCGCCCTGCACCCTGCAGCGTCTCTCCAGCCGCCTCTCTTTCCCTGCGGCCGGACTCCGGTTCCTCAGGGGCAGAGGGTAGGCACAGGGGTTTAGCGGGCGGCCCGGATGCCCGGCGCCAGGAATCCCGCAGCATCCCCCAGCGAGAGGGGCTGCGTCCCCCCGAGCATCAGGGGTTAAGCGGGTCTAGGAGGGCCTACGGCCGCGGCCGTCCAGTCCGCAGGTCTAGCTAAGTGTTCACGCGTCGACTCGTCCGGCCGCCCGGCTCACCGCAGGCCCCGCCCCCCTCGCTCTCATACTCAGCGCAGATTCAACTCCTCTCCCAAACTTTTGTCTGTCCGGCCGGAACTACTTTCCTGGAGGGGCGGAGCGCCGTGTGCTAGAGGAATAGGGGTGTCTGCGTAGCGATCTCCGGTCCGCTGGCGGGGGTGGCGGGTGCTGGTGCTGACCGCCCTGGAGGTGGAGATCCGCCGACTGGAGGCGAGAGCAGGGCGAAGGGCAGTTTGGGCAGCTGCTACTACATTACTCAAGAATTGGGACGGGGAAAAGTGGGGGAGGGGGAGAGGGAACTCTTTGTAGTTGGAATGCGCGGAGGGGCACAGTGGAATGTCGTGTTCCCGGGACGGGCGAAGTGAAGCATGTTCTGCGCAAACACCGTGACTTTGCTCCTAGTGTGGGCACTGTGGGAGAGACGGAGAGAGACGGGTACAGAAGTAGTGAGACAGGGAGAAAGAAGGGTAGATCCATAAGGAGGTTCGGGGATGCCTGTATAAAGAGCCCAGAAAGGCTAGGAAATCCAAGGAGAGAGGTGGTGGAAGACAGGTAGAGAAAGAAAGGGACAGCCAGAGCAAAGGGGACCGTGGGTGGTGTAGAGACGGAAGGATGAGAAATCTAAGAAAAAGGCAAATTTGCGCGAGTACAGAGAGAATGAGAGACAAACAAAATTGCAATAAAAAGACACCACTCTGAACTAAAAGCTCTGTGACGGGAGGGAGCTTTAGTGTCTAAGAGGAGTTGAGAAAAAAGTTTGCGACTTACCTCTACCTTCAGGGTAGGATAGATACAGGGACAGACAGACACACCCTGGTGTTGGAAAATGAGATTTTTTGCAATTATTTTAGGTGACGGGAATAAAAAGAAGGCCTGGTTTTAGGGCTAGTGGAACGCCTAGGTTGGCCTGTAGGAGATTCGTGATAAAGTGTTAACTGAAGAGGAAGAAAAGATAGCAAGTGAAATGGTCAGGATGGAAAAGGAAAAGGGGCTGACATCAGCCATACTAGAAGGAGCAAGAATAAAGAAAAGAAGAAATCGTGGCTGAAGTTGAACGTACCTAATTAAATACCAGCCACCTGATTTTGCCGGGACTAGCACATCAAGGGGCAGAAGAAGTAAAATGGAGAAGGAAAATGACTCCTTTGTATTTAGATAGTAAATGAGTTTGAAAATTATGTGCAAACAAATCATGCATATTATTTTCATCTCAACATTTTGAACACCTTTCATAATCAGTGTAGCTTTAGGAAATAGGGAAGAAAAGGAGGTTAATATTTTTTGGAAAATTAATTTGGCACAAACTATTTGGCTGCTTTGTCCTAGCTGCATTGTCTCCCTGACCTCATCTCTCCTTAGAATGAGCCTGTTTACCAGGTCAGGCCTACAGCTTTTTCTTCGATCCAGAAGAGAGTTTACTGTAAGACTGGAAGCAGGAAGCCCAGAAAACATTAGTAACAGAGGGGAGCTATCAGGCTGTATCCAGAACCTCCTGTGAGCAACATCTTCAGAATTAGCCATGAGGCTCTTCCTCCTTTCCTGTCTGCAGATGAAGGAGAACCTGGATTATTCTTTCTAATTACTTACATCCAAAATATCCACACAGCCTCTAATATTTGGAAGTTTTGCTCTCCTAGGATGAGGATGGGAGTGTACATCTTCTGGAAAGTTGAGAAGCCATTAAAGGAGGCCCTTCCAGGAGCTGGAGGTTGCAACAACAGACACAGTTGGGATCAACAATCTCTGTATTTGGGGGTAACAGGAAGCAGAGACAAGTGAAGGAGGAGAGGGATGCACTGGTCAGGCATGCTCCAGTAGTGCTCACCACCTCAGGGTCACACTCCAGAGTCTGAACTGGAGTGAGGAGTTCCACAGGCCCTATTCTCCAGACTGTAATTAAGATCTATATGCACAGATGACTCCTAAATTCCCATTTCTAGCCCAGGCTTCCTTGGACTTAAAAAGTCAGCTGATTACTAGCATCTCCACTTGGTTTTCTCAAAGGCATGCAACACCTCAAACAGACTTCTCCTGCCTCCCTAAACTGGCTCTTCCAACTCTATTCTCAGATGCCAAGTCCTCTGGCCCTTCCCACTGTGGCTTATTCAGAGTTCAGCATCTTGAGAAAAAGGCCTAGAAATCTACAAGGTATCTGTGACTTCGAAGTTTCTTTTCCTCTTTCTCCTTCAGGCCTTTAAAGGGGTTCAGGGAGTTGCGGTACTCATGCCTCTTGGTGAGGAAGTAGGTTACACCGGCTCCTGAAAGGGAGGGAAAAGAGGGGTGGGGGGCAAAGAGCAGGGTCCTCTAGAGCAGTGGTCTTCAGCCCTTTTCTTCTGCCCTAACACCACTCGACGGGAGGGTGGGAATCGGTCTTCAGAGGATGGGCTCTCCCAGTGTACCATCTGCATCACACCCACTAGCCTCAAAATGGCACCATAACCACTCAGCTGCTCAAGCCTGAGACCTGAACATTGACCTGACATCCTCTTCCCTTAATCTCAAATCCAACTAAGTCCTATCACCAAGACCCATCCATTCTGCTTCCTAAATATTTTTCAAATCTTCCTGCCCTCCTTACCACCATGTTAGGCCACCATCTTTTCTCTCCCAAGCCACTGTTAAAGTCTCCCTGAAGAGGCTTCCTCCCTCCAAGCCCAAGCCATCTTAGACCCTGAGGTCTAGTGATTCCTCTAAAACACAAAACTGATCAACTGGTTTCCCTGCTTAAAAATTTTCAATGATTTCTCACTGCCCTTGAACTAAAGTCTATCTCTAAGATACTTTACAAGGTCTGTCTCTCCAGCATCTTCTCAACACCATCCCCTCCTCAAACTTTTCTGCAGTCGGTTGGCACCTTGTCTCTGCTCTTTCTTGCCTCCTGAACTTTTGTACTGCTATTCCCTATATTTGGAACACTCTCCTGGCCTCCCTTTCCCTTCTAGTTAACTCCTCCCCATCATTCAGGTAGCAGTTTAAATACCACTCTGAGAAGCCTTTCCAGACCACGAGGGTAGGCCAGCTGCCCTTGCTACATGCTGCCATCACACCCTACATTCCCGTCATGATCCTTTATCACCGTTCATTTCATTGTCTGCTTAATCTCCTGGCTCCCTGACTAGACAGTAAGACCCCTGATCAGCATCTAACCTGATCAGTAGTGTATCCACAGCATTACCTCATAAGCAATCAATATGTATTGTATGACTAAATGAACAGAAAGCCATTTTTACTTCTCAACCCATTCAAAATGTACAAATTTTGTTTTTGAGTGTGTGTGTGTATATGTGTGTGTATACACATACATACATACCTTTCCTCAAAATACAGCTTGGCTGACAGGATGAAGAAATAGCTACAAAACCCTATATATGGCTTGGTCACACAATGGGAGAGCAGCTGCTGGTGAGACATGGAAACTCTTTAAGCTTTAATCTCCTCATGCGTAAGATGATAAAATAATAAAATCTGCCTTATATAATTCAATAAGCAATAGCTATTATATCTATATCCCAATTACCAAATAGGGATGCAGCTTGTGTCCTGCTCGGGAGAATCAAGCTTATGACCGAAACTGCCCACCAGGGGGCAGCATTACCCTGGATGGTCCGGGGCTGCGGCCTCCGCAGAGCTAGACCACCAGTCGTGGGGAAGCAGAAGGCGCAAACAGGGCTGCGTCCCCAGAACTTTGAGTGCAGCTGGAAAGAAACACAACTCAGAGACCTGAGCATATGTCAGGGCCTGATGTTTCTTGGACCCATCTTCTTCCTTTTCAGATCCCAGACTCCTCCGAGGCACTGTTTATGCTTAAGACTAAGCATTTTCTGGCTTGCCACTCACGGTGGGGGGTGGGGGGCAGAGTTTCCCCTTTCCGGGTAAGTCCTTTAATCCCACCAGAGCTGGCAGCTTCCACTTCCAGTGGGGGCTGTGTTCAGAAGAAAGGCAGACCTGCTTTCTCAGACTGCAAGAGACATCTCATTATTCCGGGAAGCCCCACAACCACCCATTTCTGGGACACAGGGCGTGGCAGAAGCCAGAGTTATTCTTGGTTCCACTTCACTCATCCTTTTCTACCTTGACCTCAATGAACGAGTTCAAGTCAGAACAGCAGGTTTTGTGGGGTTGGTCAAAGGATGGGGAGACAGGCCCATTCTCTTCACCTCCCTCATCTTCTTCTTCTTGGAAATTAGGATTATAAAGTTCTGGTGGAAGAAGCTGGGCCTCAGCAGAAGGTAATCGGTCTGAGGGAGGCCCATACACACGGTTGGCTTTAGTGCCATGCTTAGAGTTGGCATCCAGGTGGTAGCAGAGCTCCGTGAGGTGCTGGGCCCGGAAGCGGGGAGGCCGGGCCACCCAGACGCCTGGCTCATTAAGGCTGTCCTCTTCATCTGACATCAGCTCCTCTGTCACAGCCTTCCACAGGCATTGGTCCTCAGGTCCAAAATGCCTCATGATACTGGATCGGTTGGCAAAAAGCTACAGTAGGAGCCCAGGACAGAAAATTAGGAAGAGAAACAAACTATGGATTAGAATGGGGAAGAGGGTTTGGGGGAGGAGAAGGCTGTGTAAAATGTATGGCTGAGAGAACCCAGCCCCCAAGTCAAATGTTGGAACTGGCTCACCCTCCTCCTCCTACATTCCTGACTCTCAACTCTATTCTCAGATGCCAAGTCCTCTGGCCCTTCCCACTGTGGCTTATTTAGAGTTCAGCATCTTGAAAAAAAGGCCTAGAAACCTACCCGGTATCTGCGACTTCGAAGTTTCTTTTCCTCCTTCTCCTTCAGGCCTTTAAAGGGGTTCAGGGAGTTGCGGTACTCACGCCTCTTGGTGAGGAAGTAGGCTACACAGGCTCCTGGCAGGGAGGGAGAAGGGGGGAGTAAAGAGCAAGGTCCTCTAGAGCAGTGATCTTCAGCCCTTTTCTTCTGCCCTAACACCACTTGACGGGAGGGTGGGAATCGGTCTTCAGAGGATGGGCTCTCCCAGTGTACCATCTGCATCACACCCACTAGCCTCAAACCTACCAGCACTGTCCTGCCTCTGGTCTGGCGCTCTGCCTACCTTCGGCCCTAATGTGAACTCCCCCCATATCTCCCACCAGTAAAAGACAACTCCAGTGCTTCTGTAACTCCCTCCCCGTGCCCCCAATTAAACCCACACCCATTCTACTCTGTTGGGAATGGATTACCAGTGCTAGATTCAGGCCCCACATAAACATCACGCATTATGGTGTCTGGCCCTTTCCTTCTCCCATTTTCATTTTAGACTGAGTAGGGGAATAAAAAGGCAATTAGAGACAATCCTGTGACTATTATGGGTGAGAAGAATAGCCAAAAACATTTTAAGTTCACTGTTTTCAAAACCAACTGAATCATCTCTATTATGTCTCTCCTTAGACTAGGAAGTGAGGGGTGGGGTAGGTGGGGAAAAAGGATGAGATGGGAGTAACTCAGCTTTTCTCACCTTTCAGCTCCTTATCAGTGTAATTGTGAGGACTGGTCACCAGCTCCTGCTTGAGCTTTTCCAGAAGGAACTTCACTACTGAAATATTCCAAGAGGACTTGATGCTGCCACAGAGAGAAAAGAGTGAATGAGGCAGTCAGCATTTTAGAAGCCAGATAGATTCCCAACACTAACCAACTTAGTGGTAAACTCTTCCATGACCTAAGACAGGATAGCAGGGGCAATGGTGAGAGCAAAGCCTTTGCCTCACTGCTTGCTGGCATAGCTCCTCTACTTCTCTCTCCTTGGCAAAGTACCTTGTGACTGTTTTCCTTCAAGAGAATCATACCTTTCAGACCCATTGAATCTCTTGTCATTGGTGATGTGGTTATGCACATTGTGGACCAATTTCTAGGAGAAAAAACAAACACAGGATCAAGTCAAGAGTGGATATGATGAAACCCTCCTCTGGTCCCTAGGCACTGTGCATACGTGCTCTCTGCCAGAATCCTTCCCATAGTCTGGTACCATTTCTATCAATGACTTTCTTAGGCAGAGAGCCTATCCAGCTCAGTATTTCTAATACAGATGCTTTTTTTTTTCCTTTTCATTTAATTTGTGTGACTCAATCATCCTGGTCTTACTTCTGTTCCTGGGGAATATGACCATTAGAGCAGAGGGTCTTGAACATAATCACACACATACTTGTAATAACAAAGGGATAGTGAAAACACACCAGGGCTACTCCAAGTGGCCATCTGTTGAAGCCCCCCATTCTTGCAAATTGAAAAATATCTTCACAATATATCTGTATTTCTTTTAATATAAAAATGTCCTCCAAATCCAAGTAAAATTGGTGGCCAGCAACATGTCCTAGATATATCCCTCTGCACATTACCAGAAGTCCCAGGGATTCACATTCCACAGTCTGAAAAACATAAACCTAAAGTAACAGAAATGGAAAGGGCCACAGAGACTCTCCCACCTCTCTCTCTCTCATGAAACAGGCTGGCTTTCAGCTTTGCTTTTGCACCTTTATTGATGGGTTCTCACTAGTTTCCGAGTCAGCTGATTGTGTTGTTGAACATCTCTAATTGTTGAAAAGTTTTGCCTGGGACACTGCAAAATCTAACCTCAGCTTTGCACCAGAAATATTTGGAGACAGCTATCACATACTCCCCAAGTCTTCTCTTATCCAGTCTAAACACCCCCGAGTCCTTCAGCCATTCCTCATGACATGCTTCCAGACAAACTCCTCATGAAACTATAAGGCTCCCTGGTTTGCCGGTGTCCCTCTTACAGTGTGGCACCTGGAACTGAATCTAATCCATCAGTTGAGGTCTGGCCAAAGGGAGCATCCCTTCCCCGAATGGAACTCTACACTTCTGGGCATGAAACCCCAGCTGGTGCTGCCTTTCTTAGCGACCCTTAGCATCCCTACTCACAGTGTCACAGGGCTCATCCCAGTGAGCTTGCAGCCAACTCAAGCCCATTTTCCACATGGACTACTATCTCTATCATTAAGAAAAACTTTTTTAAATTTTAATGCAGGATTTTACATTTCTTTTTATTAAATTTAGTTTTATTGTTTCTGATTATATTTTCATCCCAAGCTCCCTCAGTCAATGGAATTTATCCAGTCCCAAACTGATGGGTTTACATACTGATCTCAGGACTTCAGCTTCATTTAAGAAACCCCCAATTTACCCTTCTACCTCTAGGGCTGACTGACCACCTCAGCTTAGTTTAGTCAACTGTTTATGGCAAGGGTCTCCCCTCTATAAAAGGACTGTTACCAGACTAGCTTCATATTTGGTATAGTTATTTTACTTCTTAGAAGTCCAAACTTAAGGAATGTCCACAGAGCTGATCCAAACTTAAGGAATTACAAAGGATGGATGAATGCTTCAGAAAGAATTTGAAAGACTTGCCAAAAAAGAAAAAAAAGTAGGGGGTGCATTTCAGGTGGCTTGGAAGAGATCAGCCAATAAAAATTAAACGAGGCTTGAAGTGGAAAGGGAAAATCTAGATAATAATAAAAATTAAGACTGTAAAGGCTGCGGCTCACCTACCTCCTGAGTGAGCTAAAAATAAATACATTGCCCCAATGGGTGGCTGGGATCTGCAGCATTCCAAGGATTTAAGAGTTCAGCCCTTTTGGATCCCTAGCAAAAATCCACAGTAGCTTAGCAGATTGGAGATATGCCTCTCTGATTCCTCCCCAGAGCTAAAAGTTGGAATAGGGAAGATCTACAATTATCCCTCTCCCTTTAAACCCTGAAAGTCTGGCACAAGAGCATCTTAAGCCTTCCTCTGTGATGGGCAGCAAAATTCCCTAATTGGTCCTCCCGATCCTTTCCAGGTTCTATAGTAGACAGCATGATGAGTGAACCCGCTCTCCTCCCAGAAGGTCCCCAGTCCACCAAGCTCTCCAAAGGGCAGGCATAAGCTAGGCCTCAAGGCTAGACCTCTCACTGGAGGCAGCAGGTGGGAGAAGAGTAGAAGTGACCAAAACCTCTGATTTTATGCAAATTATCACACATAGTGTTTAAATACAGTATGAAGTTTTGGGAAATCTCTTTAAATGCAATTCTAGGTAGAAGTCTCCATTTCTATCACTGGGAGCAAGAGCAGCCCTCTTGGGCCAGAAACCCATGACAAAGGAACTAAACCCATTCCCTTTTCTTGATAAGTGAGATGTCCCTGAACATAGCCAACATTTGAAATGAAGATTATGTACCAGTTGATACTGATTATGAATTGTGTCTTTCTTCCCAGGGGAAAAAATAATCCCTTAATGTAAAAACAAATGAAACAAAAGGGAGAGTGAGAATAAGATCTCTTAGGAAAAGAAAGAAGTAATGTAAATAAAGGAGGTATATGTAGTAATTGATCAGCTGTTTTCAGTCTTTACTTTGTTTTCAATCTTTACTAAGACTGTAACAAGAAGAAATGGGCTTGTATACAATGAGATTGCAGTTGGATGTGAAGGATGAGCACCAGATGTGAAGGATAAGCGCCACTCCTAACCAGAAACGGCAAGTTAGTTCATTAGCCATTATCCAGAGAATGGAAACCCGTTACAGTCAATACAGACATTATATAGCCAAAGAACATTCCCAAGATTATTGGAAAGATGTTTTTGTCCACAGAGCTGATCCAAAGGACTGTGGCCACCCAAGGTCAGGGTTTCTCAACCTCAGCACTATTGACATTTGAGGCCAGGTAATTATGGGGGGTTGTCATGTGCCTTGTAGGATGTTTAGTGATGTTCCTAAGGCTCCAACCCACTCAAAGCTTTCAGGTAGAACTGGTTCAGGAGCTCTTAGAATCACTGAAATTTCCAAACCTTTATAACTGAGTGTCTAGTGGCCTCTTTATCCTTGGGGTTTGGGACCACCTCAGGACACCTTGGCCTTTCTGCTCAAGGGGCCCATGGCTGTTTACCCTGAACACTGGTCATCTGCAGGCGGTTTCCAGGGCTACCTTTCAGGGGTCAATCTGCTCAATCCCTTAAAGATCTTCCTATCAGGATTACTAGATCACTGGGAGATGATATAATTCCCTTCTCTTTAAATAAATGGAAGGCATCAATCTATCTGGAAAAGCCTTAAAATAGCTCCACTGACTCCAGGGGGTGTACCTATACCTGGGGCTATAGAACAGACTGTCTTCTTCATGACCCTCCCACTCAGTAGGATTCAGGATACTACTCATTCAATATGGGAAGCTGAAAACAACCCTCACTTCACTCTTCCCTCTTCTCTCCAGCCTGAAGAAAAACGCATAGAAATTGAGCTCACTCACAGAGAGTACCAGATCCCGCTTGCGCCTGGAGTTCTTCTGCCCACTCCCTCTGGTCCTGCATGGGGAAGCCATAAACCCTAGAGAGGGTCTCAGCTCCCCAGGTCCCCCAGGGCCTGACTCTTCCAAGGCACCGTCCAGCGCAGCCGCAGCACTGAGCATGTCCTCGGGGCGGGGGGGTGGCAGCTTGGTTCCATTTTCTGGCCCCGTCTCTGAGGTTGCCCGCTGGATAGCCAGTTGTGTGGCTGGTGAGAGCTGCTTGGCATAAGCAGGGACCAGCACCCGCTGAACAGCGCCCTCAGAGGCCACATAATCATCCACCAGCTAAGAACATAAAGAATAGCCTATTAGCCATCCAGGCATAGGGGAACCTGGTCATCCATCACTCCTTGGCCAAGGATAGTGAACAGAGAGTGGAAAGCAGGGGGGAATCCAGCACAGTCTTTAATGGTCAATGGCTTGTTTCTCTGGAACTCCTATGGGAGAGGTGGCAAATGCTTCTTGTTATAGGGGGCCTCTCACACTGGTCGCTACCACAGGGCTGATCGCAAGGACAAGGCATGTTCCTGATGTTTGTGAAGACTCATCCATGATTTGCTCTTGTGTACAAGAACTGTAGCCAGGTAAGTGTTTTGTCTAAAAGGGACTGGAGGAGGAAGTGATGACAAGAAAGAAAAACCAAGCAAGGGGAGCAAGAAAATAAAACGATAACAATAAAGAGGGGAAATAAGAGAAAGTGGGAGCAAAAGAGGGACACATAAAGTAAAAATCTCTAGAGAGGCTGGCACCAACTGCCCCCACCCCTTCCTTTTGCACGGCCAATCTGTGCTGTCACCTGGATCCTGTCCAGGCCACACCCAACTGTCGCCCCTTCCGTCTACTTGCCTAATGTGCTCTCACTCAAGGACATATAGGTCAGGGAAAGGAAGGAGGGAGGAAGGGAGAGAGGGAGAAGCAAGGAGGGGGGATTTCTGCAGCCAAGAAAACAAAACAGTAAAAGTGGGGGGGAAAAAACACAGAAAGCAGCGGGGGAGGAGGCTGAGATTTATAGACCTGTGAGCTGCTTTCTGCGCTGTGAAATCTAATTCCATCCTGTCGGCTTGGAAGCCTTCGCTGCCTGCCTGGCCCGGTATGCCCTGCCTCCTCCCACCTTCCCTGTACCCCTGAAGCCCTGCGATGCCCGGCCAGACACAGACTGGGGCGAACCGCAGTGGCCTTCCCCCACCCCTGTGGCAAGGTTTCAGGAGCAGCGGCCAGTTGCAGTATGACACTGGAGAGGGACAGGAGCTTATACGTTGGGTTTCTCAGATCCAGCAGATGGGCCGGGAGTCTCATCCCTCCTGTCTACACTCCGTGTTCTGCTTCTTTCCTCTTCACTGGGTGTCTGGGCCTCATGGCAGGAGGACAGAAAGGGCAGAGGCAGAGCTGGGGAGCAGCAGTGCAGGCCTCCCACTACCTCTTCTGTGGTAACACATCTGGAATTTTCCCGTCTCTGTAACCCCTACTGTCGCCCCGTCTCCTTTCCATTCTTCCACATGTGACATTCTGCAGTTTGCACTCCGCTCAGCCAGGATTTTCCTGCTCACATGGCCCTGAGCAGTATGGAAACTGGAATAGCACAATGTACTTCTATGTCTTTCCCTGCTCACAAAATATGCTTGCTTGCTTCCCGTTCTCCATACAGGTTATTCTTACTAGTGATTCTCCCTCATCCACTTCTCATTTTACTTCCTTTCCTCTACCTCCCTCCCTCCCACCTTACCTCATGTGCTCTCTCTTGCATAAATTCTGTTTTCCATGCTCTTTTTTTCACTTTTCCTTCCTCAATCCTTCCCGCCCACCGCCTTCCCTCCCTATTCCTGTCTTCTGTTTCCTTTGTCCTCTCCCTCTCTCCCCACCTTTGCCTCGCTCCCCTCTACATTCCCATCTCTCTATATACTAAATTCCTCTTGGCAAGCAGAAGGCCCGTGATAAAATATGAATGAGCCGTCTGTGCACCGCAGGCATTCTCGTGAGGAGAGGCAGGGCCCACGGAGTGGCAGAGACCACTGCACAGGAGAGGGTGCCACAGACAGCTGAGGGGGGAAGGGGCCCCATCAACACACACATCAGAACTCACTGACCTCCTGCCAGAGAGGCAGTGGTCCAGGAAGCAAACAGGAGTGCCGACTCTCCTTGAGGGCAAAGGAAACCTGGTACCATTCTGTTGCATCACAAATAAAACCAAAGGAAAGGTTTAAGGAATGGAAAGAAAATAAAGAAAGGGAGAAAAAAGACAAAAGCCACGAATACAGTAAGGAGCAACAGCCCTGGCCCCTGCTCTGTGGCCATACTCACGGGATTGAGCATTGCGGCCCCATCGCTGGCGGCCAGGCCACATCCTGGGAGCCGCAGGTCTCTCTGGGCGGCTGGGAAGCCCAAGGGCCCCGGCCCCACAGTGGAGGCTGCTCCTGGCGGCCACAGCTCCTCAATCACCACCTGCAGGCCACTGCCCACGCTGTCACACTCCTCTTCCAAGGCAGGCACAGCCTTGCAGGCTTCCCCGGGACTCTCCTTGAGGGGCCCAGGCTCCTCGGGTGGGGAACCATGGACCCGGCTTTCCCCATCTTCGTCAGGGATGGACACTTTACCTTGCCTCAGCTCCCCTACTTCCTCCTGGAGACGTTTTAACAATTCGTTGTTGGCCCTGGCAAGACCCAGAGCAGTCTCAGCCAGACCCACTGCCTTATCTACCCGCTGGTAAATGATATGCAGGAGCTGCTCTGAACTCTGAACTGCCAGGCCATGTCCAGTCACTGTGATGGGGGTGCCGGGAGGGGGATTCCCACCTTGGGAGCCTGTGCTGCCCCCACTGGTCTCACTCTTACAGGCACAGCAGCAGCATCTGGCCTCGCTGCCACTGGGAGGGGAGAAGAGAATGGTGGCACTGAAAGACATGGCCGACCAGGCAGGAGCGACTGCGCTCCCACGAGACTGCTCCAAAAGGCGTCGCCAGTCGGCTGGACTCCACGAGTGTGATTGGAAGCACTGGCCTCTCTGGATTCACTTTCCTTTCTCATAGAGGGTGATCAGAGGAGCCTGGGCACCCAGCGGTGGGTTCTGTGAAGGAGCAGCAGGCAAGCCCTGAAGGGGCACACAGTCCATGGCTGCCCCTCCTTGGCCTGCACAGGAGAGACGCCTTCTTCTAGCTGGAGATCTCGCGTTCCCCTAGCACTATGCACTGGGTGTCACATTCACCCCCAACCAAGAGGGGCTGCCTATAAAGGCCTTCCTGATGAACATAGGGTCAGAGGGTAGAAGGCATTCGTCCTGCACCCAAGCATGGAACCCCCCACCACTCCAACCTAAGGAACAGAGAGGGAACTCAAAAAGACCTGCCAGCATCTGGAAAGATTGGAAGATTAAGGAAGAAAATGTAGATCTGTCTTCTCCTCACTACCTTTGCTGTAATAACAGCATGGTGTTTTATCACTTTAACATCATTCCTTTATGAGTTCAGAACACTTCACGCGGCTTAGCTCATCCCCACAACAGCTCTAGGAAACACGTTACCCCAGGTTCACAGAAAACAGCAGAGAAGTTAGGGATGGACACTTTACCTTGCCTCAGCTCTCCTACTTCCTCCTGGAGACATTTTAACAATTCGTTGTTTAACAATTCATTTCTTTCTTTCTTTTTCAAGGTCAGGGGAAGACAGCAGAATGCAGTTATTGCTACTTTCAATCTAGTGTGTGTGGTTTTTTTTTTTTGAACTGGTATCACTTTTTGTTGACATAAAGAATCATGATTCTACCCTCTCTATAATTTTCATATAGATGCATTCAGAAAGACTCCTAAATAAGGAATACACCAATCACTGCAGCCCTCAACATGTCACCAACCTCACACTATTATATCACTGATGCTTGGGGCTGGTGTAGGGAAGGAGAGGAAAAGCTGAATCAGAGAACTGAGCTGTGGTGACCCAGGGCTGCACAGCCCCATTGCTCTCAGCTGTTGCACAGCTGGGCCTCCAGCCTCTGCAAAGGAAACAGTGTTCTGAGTCCTCCAGCCAGGAGCCCAGAGAAATCATCTCTGGACCCCTCATCTGCACTTCTCATGCTCCTTAAGGGAGGGGCAAATGTAGACATGCCTAGACAGCTAAGTGCTGTCACTTGGACCACAAGACCAGACCCCATGAAAAGAAAAAACAAATATCAATGATAAACCAAACTGCCTCGTTTTGAATCACCATAATTAAGCAACTATTCCAGGAAAAAAAGTGTGGGAAGGTTGGTTTGTACCATTGAGAACACTTTAAGGAACTTCTTATTATCATTTTCTAAATGATACTTGATTATAGAGAAAAGAATCCTTCTGCCTGAAGCTCCATTAGTGACAAAATATAAAGTATGTTTACAATTTCCTCAAGAGATACATTTCTATCTTACCCTGTAAATTATATCGTAACATCACAATTAAAAGGAGAGGAAGAGGTTAGGAGAATTTTCTACATACTGAGATTTTGTTTTGTTTTGTTTTGTTTTGTTTTGGAATCAGCAATCTCATTTCAGAAACAGGCATTAGCAATGCCTCTGAGATGCTAAAACGTAAATCTGACAATAAGGAATGATGTTTACTTACATTGGGTTATTAAAGAATAGACTTTAATTTGCTTTTTCTACCCTTTTTATTTAAAAAAATGCTTTTCTGTGCCAGATATTCACTTCTTGCAAGAACTGAACTCAAATCCATTTACAGCTTCTCTGTCGTTAGAGTCACTGGAAGGCACAGCTAAACCTGAAACTCAGGTTAAAGGAAAGCACAAAGCGATTTCCGTGTCAGTTTATGGATGAACCATCTATATATTCCTTCCCTTCATAAAAAAGGGCCGCCACTGCTCCTGCAGGGCTTTTCTTTTTTTTAACCAATATTATGTAAAGGGTTTAATCTGAAACACAGATGTGAGAAAAAAAACTTAAGTTACGCAGACGATACTATACAAGTGCTTGCCAGTTGTGCTCAGTATTTGGGAAATCAGAAATTAAGATGCATCAGTTGGGACACTGGGTGGGTCCTCCTTCTGGTAGGAAACTGATGACTGTTACTCTCTGCCCCCAAACACTTAACTATTTCTTGCACGCAGCCTTTTTCCTGCCACTGTTGTGTTGTGCCTGCATCCAGCCCTTCCCTTAAATGATCTTTACTAAGTATTCTTCCAGAATAGTACAGAATAGGAAGTAAAGAAAAAAAGTGAGGTTCTCATCCTGCTGCATCACTTAAGAGTAGTGTGAACTTGGGCAAATTATTCACTTTTCTGAACTCCAGTGTTCTCATCTCTGCCTACTTTGAATGTTTTTGTGAAGATTATGCATAATACATGTAAGGCACCCATAGCATGCTGGCACATGGGCAGTGCTCCATAAATAGCAGCTGGATGATATTACAATTATTCCTGAAGCTTTTTGTGTTCCCACCTGGATAGCCATCCCAATTTCTTAGTCTTGAAAAATGTGCAATGGCTTGAGATGGAATCTGAGGTATTTACCTCTAAATTTAACATCAGATTTCTAAGAAACAATCAATTCAAGTCTACGAACATGCATTTATAGGTACAGAACCTTCTAAGATACAAATTAGAAAGGTACTTGAGAAAACAGTATTTGCAATTTACTTACTATCATGACCTGGTTTTAGACTAAGGATAATGTTCACCTCTGCTAGTTTTTAATGCTAAATATAGTCCTGTTTGGGTTGACATAAAGAACCATGACTCTACTCTCTCAAAATTTTGTTCCTCAATTTTTTTCTGCTTTTCTACTCTGCGTATTACTTAACTATGTCACATTCAGGGCAACAAATTGGTGTTTTCTTGAATTAACCTGTATGAGAACTTGGCACGGTGCAGTGTAGCCCAACACACATTCAAATAACCCTTTTCTGGTTTCTGTGGACATAAGTACTGACTTAATTTCCATGGCTCCTGCTTAGAATCTCCCATGTAATCTCCAAGGCAAAAGGACAGGGAAGGAAACTGGGGTCCACAGATAATAAAGCAGTATTTCACATTACAATGTTTACTAACCAGATAACGACTTAAATGCTGGGTAAGTGACTAAAAACACAGAACATTAACTGCATTAGCTACCTATATTCCCATTAGAGAAGGTAAGCAAGTTTAAAAAAAAAAGGTGTTTCTAAACATTCTCTATATGCAAGGCCACTCTAAGGATGAGTCACCAAAATGGACTGCCACCTCTAAGTACTCAAATGAAAGGAAGACAGGGACCCCGTATGCAAGGAGTTTACAGTGCATGTGCAAATGGAAAGTCTAAAGAACAAAACAAAATATACACAAGTGCCTAAAAATATGGTACATACTAAAAAAACTTAAGAGGACTTAGTTCAAAATAATGAAAAGATCAACAGAATGAAATTATACAACTAAAGGGTCTTAGAGAAGAAAAACCTCCAGTTGAGCCTCGAGCAATGTATAGGATGAATGGGTAGGGTGGTAAGAAGATGAGCTAGATGAGGCAGGAATTAATAGGGTTCATGTGACAAGTCAGAGCAAAGGGACTTATACAGAAAGGTACAGAAAGCCAATGGGTGACCTTGAAAACCAAGTTAAGGAAATAGAGCAGGGGCCAGCAAACCTTTTTCTGTAAAGGAACAGATGGTAAATTACTTAGGCTTTGCCTGATTTATTTGTGGTTTTTGTGTTTATGTGGTTTCTGTCACAACTACTCAACTTTGTCACTGTAGCATTAAGTAGTCACAGACAATACATAAATGAGTGTGGCTGTGTGCCAATGAGTATGGCGCATAGGACATAAAAAACAGGTAGCAGGCCAGACTTAGCCTATGGGCTATAGTTTACTGACCCCTGTCTTAGATACCTAAAGTGGAACAGTTAGAGATTAGGAGACTGTTCAATCCTGGAGTGAGAGTTGTGGATATGAAAGTTCAACATCCTGGAAGACTGGTAATATTTCTTTACTTACATAATGGGTGGATTTATTGGTAAAAGACAACTTTAAGATTATAAACCTGATAGTCAAAAGATGGTTACCACTGATAACATGAATGACAAAATTGTTAGTGAAGATATATATTTATTTAACATGTTAAATTTCAAAATGATGGTTAACATCTTTAAATGGAATGTCGAATATCTTGAAAGCGAATGATCAGTACTGAAAAAAACAAGAGGCAGGTCAGAGCTGGAATGCAGATTGGAATCTTTAGCAGGAAGTCATAATTGAACCTGTGACACTGAGCTTTCCAAGGAGTAAGGATAAAGTGGGAAATGCAAAGGTCAAGGAGAGCACTTCAAGCCAACCCATGGAAGAAGCTTCATTAAAAGAGAAAAACGGTCAGTGAGGTGAGAGAAAAACAGTGTTATGAAAGTCAAAGTAGAAAGAATGTCAAGAAAGTGGATCTAATCAACTGTGACAAGTACAGCAGAATGGTTTAAAAAGATGAAAATCAAAGAAATATATTTTGTCTGTGATGGTCACTGGAAATGACCAGAGAAGTATATTTTTTGTAGTGAAAGTAAATACCATGCAGTAGATGAAAGAATTGATGAAGAGAAAATGGAAGCAAGACATGAAGTTTTGTAGAGTTTAGTTATGAAAGGAAGGAAAGAAATAGGAAGTCTGAAGGTGCTCTAGAGCTTCAGTATATTTCAAAATTAGAAAGAAAAAGGCCAGTGAAAAAGCACAGGTATTAGATATCATATTAGAAGATATTAGAAAAGAATTTACATTTTCTTCTCGCAAGGATTCTTCCAATGTGAGAAGGAAGGCAAGCTCTAACCCAAGACTGCACAAAAGAGATGAATGCAGGGGCAAGATTCATTGAGGTGGAAAGAGGAAGAAAAAGATGTACACTACTGGCACACTCTTTTGACTTTTAGAAACAGATTTTCCTCAGTATGAATAATTCAAATTGGTAACAGCACTTTATTAGACAGTGCTGTACTAATAGTTATCAGTTAAATCTTTCTTTTCTAACTGAACATAATTATTTTCGCTTTTTTCCATCACTAGCTTAAAGTTCTAGAGCCCACTTTACCCTGCCAACATTATTAACACAGCTAAACTGTATTCCGGTATCTTTATTTTGCTTCTCAAAATGTGTAATTTTAATTCAATAGCCCATGGAATGTTTGGCAGTGCAGTGGTTAACTGTAGTAAATTATCCAGGCAGTGCCTATACATTATTACTAAACATTAGTACTGTCAACTTTTATAATATCAGATTGCTAATTTATTTTAAAACCAAGAGTTCGTATTTTTGTTCAAGAAAGAAAAAAATAGGATAAGCTAAGACTGACCACCACAGAGTAATATACATGCGTTTTGCAAAATACTATCAACTTTTAGAATTGAGTGTTAAGGAAAATCTTCAAACTTTCAATGAGTTGCCAACACAGAACGACAGCAGCTGTCAGCCTTAGTTTGCATAAAATATGTATNCTGATTTTATGCAAATTATCACACATAGTGTTTAAATACAGTATGAAGTTTTGGGAAATCTCTTTAAATGCAATTCTAGGTAGAAGTCTCCATTTCTATCACTGGGAGCAAGAGCAGCCCTCTTGGGCCAGAAACCCATGACAAAGGAACTAAACCCATTCCCTTTTCTTGATAAGTGAGATGTCCCTGAACATAGCCAACATTTGAAATGAAGATTATGTACCAGTTGATACTGATTATGAATTGTGTCTTTCTTCCCAGGGGAAAAAATAATCCCTTAATGTAAAAACAAATGAAACAAAAGGGAGAGTGAGAATAAGATCTCTTAGGAAAAGAAAGAAGTAATGTAAATAAAGGAGGTATATGTAGTAATTGATCAGCTGTTTTCAGTCTTTACTTTGTTTTCAATCTTTACTAAGACTGTAACAAGAAGAAATGGGCTTGTATACAATGAGATTGCAGTTGGATGTGAAGGATGAGCACCAGATGTGAAGGATAAGCGCCACTCCTAACCAGAAACGGCAAGTTAGTTCATTAGCCATTATCCAGAGAATGGAAACCCGTTACAGTCAATACAGACATTATATAGCCAAAGAACATTCCCAAGATTATTGGAAAGATGTTTTTGTCCACAGAGCTGATCCAAAGGACTGTGGCCACCCAAGGTCAGGGTTTCTCAACCTCAGCACTATTGACATTTGAGGCCAGGTAATTATGGGGGGTTGTCATGTGCCTTGTAGGATGTTTAGTGATGTTCCTAAGGCTCCAACCCACTCAAAGCTTTCAGGTAGAACTGGTTCAGGAGCTCTTAGAATCACTGAAATTTCCAAACCTTTATAACTGAGTGTCTAGTGGCCTCTTTATCCTTGGGGTTTGGGACCACCTCAGGACACCTTGGCCTTTCTGCTCAAGGGGCCCATGGCTGTTTACCCTGAACACTGGTCATCTGCAGGCGGTTTCCAGGGCTACCTTTCAGGGGTCAATCTGCTCAATCCCTTAAAGATCTTCCTATCAGGATTACTAGATCACTGGGAGATGATATAATTCCCTTCTCTTTAAATAAATGGAAGGCATCAATCTATCTGGAAAAGCCTTAAAATAGCTCCACTGACTCCAGGGGGTGTACCTATACCTGGGGCTATAGAACAGACTGTCTTCTTCATGACCCTCCCACTCAGTAGGATTCAGGATACTACTCATTCAATATGGGAAGCTGAAAACAACCCTCACTTCACTCTTCCCTCTTCTCTCCAGCCTGAAGAAAAACGCATAGAAATTGAGCTCACTCACAGAGAGTACCAGATCCCGCTTGCGCCTGGAGTTCTTCTGCCCACTCCCTCTGGTCCTGCATGGGGAAGCCATAAACCCTAGAGAGGGTCTCAGCTCCCCAGGTCCCCCAGGGCCTGACTCTTCCAAGGCACCGTCCAGCGCAGCCGCAGCACTGAGCATGTCCTCGGGGCGGGGGGGTGGCAGCTTGGTTCCATTTTCTGGCCCCGTCTCTGAGGTTGCCCGCTGGATAGCCAGTTGTGTGGCTGGTGAGAGCTGCTTGGCATAAGCAGGGACCAGCACCCGCTGAACAGCGCCCTCAGAGGCCACATAATCATCCACCAGCTAAGAACATAAAGAATAGCCTATTAGCCATCCAGGCATAGGGGAACCTGGTCATCCATCACTCCTTGGCCAAGGATAGTGAACAGAGAGTGGAAAGCAGGGGGGAATCCAGCACAGTCTTTAATGGTCAATGGCTTGTTTCTCTGGAACTCCTATGGGAGAGGTGGCAAATGCTTCTTGTTATAGGGGGCCTCTCACACTGGTCGCTACCACAGGGCTGATCGCAAGGACAAGGCATGTTCCTGATGTTTGTGAAGACTCATCCATGATTTGCTCTTGTGTACAAGAACTGTAGCCAGGTAAGTGTTTTGTCTAAAAGGGACTGGAGGAGGAAGTGATGACAAGAAAGAAAAACCAAGCAAGGGGAGCAAGAAAATAAAACGATAACAATAAAGAGGGGAAATAAGAGAAAGTGGGAGCAAAAGAGGGACACATAAAGTAAAAATCTCTAGAGAGGCTGGCACCAACTGCCCCCACCCCTTCCTTTTGCACGGCCAATCTGTGCTGTCACCTGGATCCTGTCCAGGCCACACCCAACTGTCGCCCCTTCCGTCTACTTGCCTAATGTGCTCTCACTCAAGGACATATAGGTCAGGGAAAGGAAGGAGGGAGGAAGGGAGAGAGGGAGAAGCAAGGAGGGGGGATTTCTGCAGCCAAGAAAACAAAACAGTAAAAGTGGGGGGGAAAAAACACAGAAAGCAGCGGGGGAGGAGGCTGAGATTTATAGACCTGTGAGCTGCTTTCTGCGCTGTGAAATCTAATTCCATCCTGTCGGCTTGGAAGCCTTCGCTGCCTGCCTGGCCCGGTATGCCCTGCCTCCTCCCACCTTCCCTGTACCCCTGAAGCCCTGCGATGCCCGGCCAGACACAGACTGGGGCGAACCGCAGTGGCCTTCCCCCACCCCTGTGGCAAGGTTTCAGGAGCAGCGGCCAGTTGCAGTATGACACTGGAGAGGGACAGGAGCTTATACGTTGGGTTTCTCAGATCCAGCAGATGGGCCGGGAGTCTCATCCCTCCTGTCTACACTCCGTGTTCTGCTTCTTTCCTCTTCACTGGGTGTCTGGGCCTCATGGCAGGAGGACAGAAAGGGCAGAGGCAGAGCTGGGGAGCAGCAGTGCAGGCCTCCCACTACCTCTTCTGTGGTAACACATCTGGAATTTTCCCGTCTCTGTAACCCCTACTGTCGCCCCGTCTCCTTTCCATTCTTCCACATGTGACATTCTGCAGTTTGCACTCCGCTCAGCCAGGATTTTCCTGCTCACATGGCCCTGAGCAGTATGGAAACTGGAATAGCACAATGTACTTCTATGTCTTTCCCTGCTCACAAAATATGCTTGCTTGCTTCCCGTTCTCCATACAGGTTATTCTTACTAGTGATTCTCCCTCATCCACTTCTCATTTTACTTCCTTTCCTCTACCTCCCTCCCTCCCACCTTACCTCATGTGCTCTCTCTTGCATAAATTCTGTTTTCCATGCTCTTTTTTTCACTTTTCCTTCCTCAATCCTTCCCGCCCACCGCCTTCCCTCCCTATTCCTGTCTTCTGTTTCCTTTGTCCTCTCCCTCTCTCCCCACCTTTGCCTCGCTCCCCTCTACATTCCCATCTCTCTATATACTAAATTCCTCTTGGCAAGCAGAAGGCCCGTGATAAAATATGAATGAGCCGTCTGTGCACCGCAGGCATTCTCGTGAGGAGAGGCAGGGCCCACGGAGTGGCAGAGACCACTGCACAGGAGAGGGTGCCACAGACAGCTGAGGGGGGAAGGGGCCCCATCAACACACACATCAGAACTCACTGACCTCCTGCCAGAGAGGCAGTGGTCCAGGAAGCAAACAGGAGTGCCGACTCTCCTTGAGGGCAAAGGAAACCTGGTACCATTCTGTTGCATCACAAATAAAACCAAAGGAAAGGTTTAAGGAATGGAAAGAAAATAAAGAAAGGGAGAAAAAAGACAAAAGCCACGAATACAGTAAGGAGCAACAGCCCTGGCCCCTGCTCTGTGGCCATACTCACGGGATTGAGCATTGCGGCCCCATCGCTGGCGGCCAGGCCACATCCTGGGAGCCGCAGGTCTCTCTGGGCGGCTGGGAAGCCCAAGGGCCCCGGCCCCACAGTGGAGGCTGCTCCTGGCGGCCACAGCTCCTCAATCACCACCTGCAGGCCACTGCCCACGCTGTCACACTCCTCTTCCAAGGCAGGCACAGCCTTGCAGGCTTCCCCGGGACTCTCCTTGAGGGGCCCAGGCTCCTCGGGTGGGGAACCATGGACCCGGCTTTCCCCATCTTCGTCAGGGATGGACACTTTACCTTGCCTCAGCTCCCCTACTTCCTCCTGGAGACGTTTTAACAATTCGTTGTTGGCCCTGGCAAGACCCAGAGCAGTCTCAGCCAGACCCACTGCCTTATCTACCCGCTGGTAAATGATATGCAGGAGCTGCTCTGAACTCTGAACTGCCAGGCCATGTCCAGTCACTGTGATGGGGGTGCCGGGAGGGGGATTCCCACCTTGGGAGCCTGTGCTGCCCCCACTGGTCTCACTCTTACAGGCACAGCAGCAGCATCTGGCCTCGCTGCCACTGGGAGGGGAGAAGAGAATGGTGGCACTGAAAGACATGGCCGACCAGGCAGGAGCGACTGCGCTCCCACGAGACTGCTCCAAAAGGCGTCGCCAGTCGGCTGGACTCCACGAGTGTGATTGGAAGCACTGGCCTCTCTGGATTCACTTTCCTTTCTCATAGAGGGTGATCAGAGGAGCCTGGGCACCCAGCGGTGGGTTCTGTGAAGGAGCAGCAGGCAAGCCCTGAAGGGGCACACAGTCCATGGCTGCCCCTCCTTGGCCTGCACAGGAGAGACGCCTTCTTCTAGCTGGAGATCTCGCGTTCCCCTAGCACTATGCACTGGGTGTCACATTCACCCCCAACCAAGAGGGGCTGCCTATAAAGGCCTTCCTGATGAACATAGGGTCAGAGGGTAGAAGGCATTCGTCCTGCACCCAAGCATGGAACCCCCCACCACTCCAACCTAAGGAACAGAGAGGGAACTCAAAAAGACCTGCCAGCATCTGGAAAGATTGGAAGATTAAGGAAGAAAATGTAGATCTGTCTTCTCCTCACTACCTTTGCTGTAATAACAGCATGGTGTTTTATCACTTTAACATCATTCCTTTATGAGTTCAGAACACTTCACGCGGCTTAGCTCATCCCCACAACAGCTCTAGGAAACACGTTACCCCAGGTTCACAGAAAACAGCAGAGAAGTTAGGGATGGACACTTTACCTTGCCTCAGCTCTCCTACTTCCTCCTGGAGACATTTTAACAATTCGTTGTTTAACAATTCATTTCTTTCTTTCTTTTTCAAGGTCAGGGGAAGACAGCAGAATGCAGTTATTGCTACTTTCAATCTAGTGTGTGTGGTTTTTTTTTTTTGAACTGGTATCACTTTTTGTTGACATAAAGAATCATGATTCTACCCTCTCTATAATTTTCATATAGATGCATTCAGAAAGACTCCTAAATAAGGAATACACCAATCACTGCAGCCCTCAACATGTCACCAACCTCACACTATTATATCACTGATGCTTGGGGCTGGTGTAGGGAAGGAGAGGAAAAGCTGAATCAGAGAACTGAGCTGTGGTGACCCAGGGCTGCACAGCCCCATTGCTCTCAGCTGTTGCACAGCTGGGCCTCCAGCCTCTGCAAAGGAAACAGTGTTCTGAGTCCTCCAGCCAGGAGCCCAGAGAAATCATCTCTGGACCCCTCATCTGCACTTCTCATGCTCCTTAAGGGAGGGGCAAATGTAGACATGCCTAGACAGCTAAGTGCTGTCACTTGGACCACAAGACCAGACCCCATGAAAAGAAAAAATAAATATCAATGATAAACCAAACTGCCTCGTTTTGAATCACCATAATTAAGCAACTATTCCAGGAAAAAAAGTGTGGGAAGGTTGGTTTGTACCATTGAGAACACTTTAAGGAACTTCTTATTATCATTTTCTAAATGATACTTGATTATAGAGAAAAGAATCCTTCTGCCTGAAGCTCCATTAGTGACAAAATATAAAGTATGTTTACAATTTCCTCAAGAGATACATTTCTATCTTACCCTGTAAATTATATCGTAACATCACAATTAAAAGGAGAGGAAGAGGTTAGGAGAATTTTCTACATACTGAGATTTTGTTTTGTTTTGTTTTGTTTTGTTTTGGAATCAGCAATCTCATTTCAGAAACAGGCATTAGCAATGCCTCTGAGATGCTAAAACGTAAATCTGACAATAAGGAATGATGTTTACTTACATTGGGTTATTAAAGAATAGACTTTAATTTGCTTTTTCTACCCTTTTTATTTAAAAAAATGCTTTTCTGTGCCAGATATTCACTTCTTGCAAGAACTGAACTCAAATCCATTTACAGCTTCTCTGTCGTTAGAGTCACTGGAAGGCACAGCTAAACCTGAAACTCAGGTTAAAGGAAAGCACAAAGCGATTTCCGTGTCAGTTTATGGATGAACCATCTATATATTCCTTCCCTTCATAAAAAAGGGCCGCCACTGCTCCTGCAGGGCTTTTCTTTTTTTTAACCAATATTATGTAAAGGGTTTAATCTGAAACACAGATGTGAGAAAAAAAACTTAAGTTACGCAGACGATACTATACAAGTGCTTGCCAGTTGTGCTCAGTATTTGGGAAATCAGAAATTAAGATGCATCAGTTGGGACACTGGGTGGGTCCTCCTTCTGGTAGGAAACTGATGACTGTTACTCTCTGCCCCCAAACACTTAACTATTTCTTGCACGCAGCCTTTTTCCTGCCACTGTTGTGTTGTGCCTGCATCCAGCCCTTCCCTTAAATGATCTTTACTAAGTATTCTTCCAGAATAGTACAGAATAGGAAGTAAAGAAAAAAAGTGAGGTTCTCATCCTGCTGCATCACTTAAGAGTAGTGTGAACTTGGGCAAATTATTCACTTTTCTGAACTCCAGTGTTCTCATCTCTGCCTACTTTGAATGTTTTTGTGAAGATTATGCATAATACATGTAAGGCACCCATAGCATGCTGGCACATGGGCAGTGCTCCATAAATAGCAGCTGGATGATATTACAATTATTCCTGAAGCTTTTTGTGTTCCCACCTGGATAGCCATCCCAATTTCTTAGTCTTGAAAAATGTGCAATGGCTTGAGATGGAATCTGAGGTATTTACCTCTAAATTTAACATCAGATTTCTAAGAAACAATCAATTCAAGTCTACGAACATGCATTTATAGGTACAGAACCTTCTAAGATACAAATTAGAAAGGTACTTGAGAAAACAGTATTTGCAATTTACTTACTATCATGACCTGGTTTTAGACTAAGGATAATGTTCACCTCTGCTAGTTTTTAATGCTAAATATAGTCCTGTTTGGGTTGACATAAAGAACCATGACTCTACTCTCTCAAAATTTTGTTCCTCAATTTTTTTCTGCTTTTCTACTCTGCGTATTACTTAACTATGTCACATTCAGGGCAACAAATTGGTGTTTTCTTGAATTAACCTGTATGAGAACTTGGCACGGTGCAGTGTAGCCCAACACACATTCAAATAACCCTTTTCTGGTTTCTGTGGACATAAGTACTGACTTAATTTCCATGGCTCCTGCTTAGAATCTCCCATGTAATCTCCAAGGCAAAAGGACAGGGAAGGAAACTGGGGTCCACAGATAATAAAGCAGTATTTCACATTACAATGTTTACTAACCAGATAACGACTTAAATGCTGGGTAAGTGACTAAAAACACAGAACATTAACTGCATTAGCTACCTATATTCCCATTAGAGAAGGTAAGCAAGTTTAAAAAAAAAAGGTGTTTCTAAACATTCTCTATATGCAAGGCCACTCTAAGGATGAGTCACCAAAATGGACTGCCACCTCTAAGTACTCAAATGAAAGGAAGACAGGGACCCCGTATGCAAGGAGTTTACAGTGCATGTGCAAATGGAAAGTCTAAAGAACAAAACAAAATATACACAAGTGCCTAAAAATATGGTACATACTAAAAAAACTTAAGAGGACTTAGTTCAAAATAATGAAAAGATCAACAGAATGAAATTATACAACTAAAGGGTCTTAGAGAAGAAAAACCTCCAGTTGAGCCTCGAGCAATGTATAGGATGAATGGGTAGGGTGGTAAGAAGATGAGCTAGATGAGGCAGGAATTAATAGGGTTCATGTGACAAGTCAGAGCAAAGGGACTTATACAGAAAGGTACAGAAAGCCAATGGGTGACCTTGAAAACCAAGTTAAGGAAATAGAGCAGGGGCCAGCAAACCTTTTTCTGTAAAGGAACAGATGGTAAATTACTTAGGCTTTGCCTGATTTATTTGTGGTTTTTGTGTTTATGTGGTTTCTGTCACAACTACTCAACTTTGTCACTGTAGCATTAAGTAGTCACAGACAATACATAAATGAGTGTGGCTGTGTGCCAATGAGTATGGCGCATAGGACATAAAAAACAGGTAGCAGGCCAGACTTAGCCTATGGGCTATAGTTTACTGACCCCTGTCTTAGATACCTAAAGTGGAACAGTTAGAGATTAGGAGACTGTTCAATCCTGGAGTGAGAGTTGTGGATATGAAAGTTCAACATCCTGGAAGACTGGTAATATTTCTTTACTTACATAATGGGTGGATTTATTGGTAAAAGACAACTTTAAGATTATAAACCTGATAGTCAAAAGATGGTTACCACTGATAACATGAATGACAAAATTGTTAGTGAAGATATATATTTATTTAACATGTTAAATTTCAAAATGATGGTTAACATCTTTAAATGGAATGTCGAATATCTTGAAAGCGAATGATCAGTACTGAAAAAAACAAGAGGCAGGTCAGAGCTGGAATGCAGATTGGAATCTTTAGCAGGAAGTCATAATTGAACCTGTGACACTGAGCTTTCCAAGGAGTAAGGATAAAGTGGGAAATGCAAAGGTCAAGGAGAGCACTTCAAGCCAACCCATGGAAGAAGCTTCATTAAAAGAGAAAAACGGTCAGTGAGGTGAGAGAAAAACAGTGTTATGAAAGTCAAAGTAGAAAGAATGTCAAGAAAGTGGATCTAATCAACTGTGACAAGTACAGCAGAATGGTTTAAAAAGATGAAAATCAAAGAAATATATTTTGTCTGTGATGGTCACTGGAAATGACCAGAGAAGTATATTTTTTGTAGTGAAAGTAAATACCATGCAGTAGATGAAAGAATTGATGAAGAGAAAATGGAAGCAAGACATGAAGTTTTGTAGAGTTTAGTTATGAAAGGAAGGAAAGAAATAGGAAGTCTGAAGGTGCTCTAGAGCTTCAGTATATTTCAAAATTAGAAAGAAAAAGGCCAGTGAAAAAGCACAGGTATTAGATATCATATTAGAAGATATTAGAAAAGAATTTACATTTTCTTCTCGCAAGGATTCTTCCAATGTGAGAAGGAAGGCAAGCTCTAACCCAAGACTGCACAAAAGAGATGAATGCAGGGGCAAGATTCATTGAGGTGGAAAGAGGAAGAAAAAGATGTACACTACTGGCACACTCTTTTGACTTTTAGAAACAGATTTTCCTCAGTATGAATAATTCAAATTGGTAACAGCACTTTATTAGACAGTGCTGTACTAATAGTTATCAGTTAAATCTTTCTTTTCTAACTGAACATAATTATTTTCGCTTTTTTCCATCACTAGCTTAAAGTTCTAGAGCCCACTTTACCCTGCCAACATTATTAACACAGCTAAACTGTATTCCGGTATCTTTATTTTGCTTCTCAAAATGTGTAATTTTAATTCAATAGCCCATGGAATGTTTGGCAGTGCAGTGGTTAACTGTAGTAAATTATCCAGGCAGTGCCTATACATTATTACTAAACATTAGTACTGTCAACTTTTATAATATCAGATTGCTAATTTATTTTAAAACCAAGAGTTCGTATTTTTGTTCAAGAAAGAAAAAAATAGGATAAGCTAAGACTGACCACCACAGAGTAATATACATGCGTTTTGCAAAATACTATCAACTTTTAGAATTGAGTGTTAAGGAAAATCTTCAAACTTTCAATGAGTTGCCAACACAGAACGACAGCAGCTGTCAGCCTTAGTTTGCATAAAATATGTATGTTTAGAGTTCATCCAGTATTGGTCTGATTTTAATACACGTGAAAGGAGCCTAGAAAATGTACTTCTCAATAATTTTTGTATTTTATTCATAAATATTTAGATAAAAAAGAAAAAACTCCTTTAGACAGTTCAGGGTGAGACTGTCCATAATCTTAACTATCCTTTCCTCCCAAGTCACTATGTTTGTTAGAACTAAATATATCATACTCTTGGCAGCTCCCTTGCTTGCTTCCAACCCATTCTGAGTTTGAATTTTCTGCATGACTGAATTCACCTCCAAACTATGAAAAATAAGTTTCCTCACTCTTTAATAGATGTGTATTATATGGTATCACTCAGAAGATGTATGTTTTTATAATGGGCCCTTGACTCATTTAGGGTCATGCTAGCAATGGACCTCTTTAAATGCGATTACTGAAAGCATAGCAATTCCTACCATAATCTTCATTTTAAGAAATAAAAATGGAAAATGGCCACTTAAAGCTCCTAGTGTGTGGGTCAGCTCTGCTCCTCCACTTGCAAAATGGCTCACCTGTTAGGACCTCTCAAAATCTATTTTATCAGATATGAGCTCCTTATCACACTAGAACAGGTAAGCAAATTCCATAATATACAATTCTCTAACATTTTGAAAGACTGACCCTTCTAATGATTTACAAAGAAAATTTTAAGACTAATTTTTAGGGGTAAGAGAGATGTAGGCCCAGAGAACAGAATGATGCTCTAAGGGGTCCACGTAATCCAAAAATTCCAAGTAACTTGTATGGCCATACAAGAATTTTTAACCCAGGGTGCAGTCTTTTATTTACATTTACTAAAATGCAAATTGGTAAGATTAAAATTTCCGTTTAAGGTTTTCATATAAATGTGCCCGAAGTAAAGGACTCTTCCTGCATTTCTGGAGAAACTGAAATACGAAAACTAGCTCCCAAAGCTGTATCTCGTGCCCAGCGAGCCCTCGGTAAATGTTAGTTGATTAAATATTAGTCAAAGGTGTCAAGGTGAGCACCAGGGACAGCAGAAGCATTTCCGAAGAGACAGTGTTAATCAGCTATAGGCAGGGCAACCACAGAGACACACGGGGAACCGAGCTCGGGCACTGCCTTCGAGGCCGCAGGGACACGGCCACCCGCCACAGAGCCCAGCCGCAGAGTGTGTCCTGGGGGTCCCGGGGAAAGGGGTGTTTCTGAGAGGGCGTCAGGCACCCGAGCAGTCCGAGGCGCGGTTGGCAGCTCGCTGGATCACTGTGGGTGGACCACAAGGCCGTGAGAGCTCTGAGGACTCGGACTCAGAGCGGCGCGGGAGTTCCCACCGTGGACCCACTTTGGCAGACCTACGGGTGTTCCACCGCGTTTGCCCCACGCCGGGGCTGTTCGCGCTGAAGCTGCAGTGCCAGGGCCGAGGCGCGGGCCGGAGAGCCAGACCGCGGCGCCGGCCCGTGTACCCGCCAGCGCGCGCACGCGGAGAGGCTCCGCCCGGCCTGTGCTTTGGTTCCCGGTGATTGGCGGTTGGACAATGGGGGAGGCAGGGCCAGGAACGTTATTGGCTACAAGCCACAATCACTCAACGAGCCAGGGAGGGGAGGGGCCTCTCCAGGGAGGGACACGACTGCGAAAATTTTTCAATGCCGTCAGACGCCATCTTTAGCTTGTTTTGTTTTGTTTACTCGCTTCCGTTGGCTGCTGCTCTCAAAGCTGCGTGTACACGAGATGCTAAGTGCAGTGACCACAGATCGGTCTCTCACACTTGGGTGGAAGAAGGCTTTTCATTCCTGCCGGCCTTGGTTACAGATCTTTCAGATATCATTAGCAAAGTAGCGGTTCCCTTAGTTCAAAGCTTTTATCTCTAGGGACCCCGCGGATTCCCAAGCAAAATCAACTCAATTTAGCCTCGTTTCGCTTTGGTAGGAAGGCCAAGCCAACGATATATTCATGGGAGGAATTGTCTTTCTCACAAAGAAATTAAAAGCAACGACATTGGGTGTGAACCTAGGTTCCTTGTAAAAATCAAATAGACTAGCAAGTCAAGGGGGCTCAGGCTGTGTATTGCTGTAGGAAGAGTGCTCTCTCTCCTGAGAAGCTAAGAAGTTGAGATAAGAAGTAAATGTGATGACCTGCAGTGATGCGGAAAATAATTAGACAGGGCAAAACTCCCGTTAAAAAATTCCCAGTACTGCTGCCATGGCAAAGGCCACCAGAATCTGGCTAAGCTTCCAGAGAACGCAGGTCTAAACTTGTGGAATGATCCACAGTTGAGACAGTATTAAGTACTGATCTGACTTGAATTTGTTAGGGAATAAAAATCCAATCAGTACAGGTAAGAAATTCAGAAAGCCTAACACAGGGCTACTTGTGTTACAATGCTTTCAAGACCTGTGCAAATAACCTTAGTGCTTAAAACAGTACAATGCTAGCTGAGGAATGGAATGTATTGTCAGTATCATATAGAGGTTTTGCTGTAGTGAAATCTGAACTCTACAGATTTTTTTATCTCTTGGTTGCTACTTGTGACATTCTAGTTTCTCCCTCATAACCCCATATACTTCCTATGCTTTCACTCCCATCTGCGAATACAGATTTGAATAGAAATATTCTCTATGACTTCTAATAGGAGAGAATAGTTCTGTAACAGAATGAAGTGACAAACAGCTCATATAACAGGAGGCTCTGCTCTGAGCTCTTCCTAATTCTTAGTTTTCTCTGTGACTGTTAAGACACAGGGAGAAGGCTCTTCATTCCAACGATGCAACATGATAAACAAAATCCTTTTCTTACCCTCTATGTATGACTTGCCTTTGCCTCCTCTTGGCCCCTCCCCCACCACCACCAGGAGCAGTTTTTGAGAACTGGACTTGACGGGATTATTTTCCTGAAATTTTGACAGCTGTGGAGCTTTTCAAACAACTCCCAACCTATAAATGACTATTTTGTCAAAAAGCCAAGAGAGAACTTCCCTTCTAAACACACCAACCAAACCACACATAAAGGCCAAAATATACACAGCTGTACATTTAAGAACGTGAGACAATAAAATGCAAAACCACTTAAGCAAAACGGTCACTGAACCACAGACTCAATAAATTGCCAACCCTTATTTGCCACATGGACTGTATTCTCCCTGGCAATTATTATTCACTAATCTGGTATTTTGGAGCACACAAATATAGTAAATGCATATAGAATGGACGTGCCTAAGTATGTGAAGCATAGGTTTTCTTCCAAACTCTAATTTGCACACAAAATCCTGTTTGGATCACATTTGGGAACAGAAAAAAATTCACATCCTAGGGGCTACTTTGCACACATAGAACCAAAGGTAATTAGTTTTGAAAATAAAATCTGATATGGCACATATACACATACTGTACACATACACAAAGCACAAAACCCCAAATCTTTACAAAATGTTTCAATACACACACACCACACAGTGTCCTCATGAAAATGTGTGTAAGACACACTATAAGAAGGGCTTTCACTCCTCCCCAGGAAAATGAGTGTCTCAATTATAAGATCCAAACATTTTTAACCTATTGGCCTTGGACAATTGCCACATTCAAGCCACCTGACTTTGGTTCTGGGGGGAGGGTGTGTAAAACGCACGCAAACGGCTGGGTGAGGGAGTCTCAAATTTCCGCTTCCTTCGACGACGTTCCCCCGTGGCAGAAATTTACATACCCCTTCAGCCAGCTTAAAAAAATAAATCTATACTTCCCAAGCGACTAAATTTTTAGACCCTTTCACCACAAAAATTTACCAGTTCTTAAAATGTGATAGCAAAAATAAAAAATATCTATAAATTTGGCTGGGAAGAGTTGCACACGGCCATTCTTCTCAACTTCTTGGTATATTTAAAACCTTGACTAGGAAAAAGAAAGAGGAAGAGAAAGAGAAAAAGAAATGGGGGAAAGCGCAAATTTCCCTTAGCAACAGTTTCCTCACCCCAGCACTGCCACAGATCTCTATTTTTAAAAAATTTGAAAACACACACAAGATTAAGGAGGAAAAAAAAATGGAAAAAGGATACCCGAAGGTCGTATGGCTCTTTGTATTCGTGTGTGTGCAAAAAGGAGGACTCGGAGAGCCAGAGCTGGCAAGCCCCGCCCCTCGCCGGACGCCCTCCCGGATTGGCTGCCGGCGACCATGAGGCGCCCCGCCCGCGAGCACACGCGCTGCGCCTGAGGCTCTGGCCCCCGGTGGGGGCTCAGGGCCCCCCGACCCCCGACCCCTGACCCCTGGCGCCCTGACTCTGGCGCCCGGCTCGCACCTATACTTCTTCCCGCCGCTGTGCTCCTCCTTTAACTTTCTCACTCTCTTCTCGCCCTTTCCCATCATTTTTTTCTCAGTGAAACGAGGCCCTCATCACCAGTTTAAATAGCAACCTATGAAAGAGTTCCCTCTGAAGATTTGCTGAACTTGGTTAGTCAGTAAAATTCTAGACTGAGATAAAGCATCAGACTTGTTGCGTGGGCTCCAGTTCATGATTTCCAGGTGGAATGTCTCTGGGTCAAGTCTGTTGCTGAACACTCTCCCACCTTGAAATGAACATTCTTGCAAGTATGTGGCATTCTTCAGGTGAAAGACAAATAGTCTTACACTTGGCGTTGTTTTTGCTCAACCTGAGTCCCCATTTTTTCTCTATTTGGCTGTGACCACATTTTTCCAAAAACCTAAAATGGCTCCCCTTTACCTCCTGCATGAAGCCCTGGCCCCACACCTTTGTTCTTCCCACAGCCCTCACCTTTTAATCCCGGTGTGATTCCTTTGCTCAGGTGGGCTTGTCTGCCTGGATTGCTGCCTGTCTCCTCTTCTCTGACTAAAGTCAGTTTTTATCCATTCTTCAGCGATTTCAGTCAACACAGACGCTTCCTTCTCTTACATCAGCATGAACTTCATGCTTACTTGGGTGAGCAGCACTTAATTCTACATTGTTTCTCATATTTTAGTAATTTCACACTAATAAGCTGTTTGAGATCAGAGATCATATCTTTAACATCTTTTCCATTCACGAACTTTTTTTTAATTCTTGCAGCAGCTGGCATAATTGTAGACATTTAGTAAGCTCTGGGAAAAGATCATTTATAATTAAATAGATTTTTTTTTCTATCTAACACGTACATTTTGAAACTCAGATCCCACAAGAATTTGTCTTCAAGCAGTTCATGAGCACTTAGTGTTCAGAGGCTGTTCTGAACACTTCTTCACATTTATTAACTTATTCAATCTCTACAGTAGTAGGTAGGCACTATGATTAGTCTACCTTAAATGTGCTCAGAATGCTTGCTTACATTAGCCTATGGTTAGGCAAAATCATCTAACACAAAGCCTCTTTTATAATAAAAGTGTTGAATATCTCATGTAATTTACTGAATACTGTACTGAAAATGAAAAGCAGAATGTTTGTATGGGTGCAGACATTTTTATGTCCAGATTGCATGGCTGACTGGGAGCTAGGGATTGCTGAGGCTGCCCAGCATCCCAGAAGAGTATGTACCCCACATCACTAGGCTGGGGAAAGGATCCAAAATTCAAAATGTGATTTTTGCTAAATGGTATCGCTGTCACGCCATGGTAAAGTTAAGAAATCTAAGATGGGAACCATCCGTAATAATTTGACTAAGGTCATAGAGCTAATTAAGAGATAGACCTGGGATTGGAATGCAGAGCACCTAGCTCCATCGCCCAAGTTCTTAACCACTGTGCCTCACTGGCTGCACAACACAGCTTTGAAAAATACTGTTATCTGACTTCATCTTTACTGCAATCCACAAGATAAATGGCCTAAATGCTTCTAAAATATCAATGGGATAAAGGCACACACAAGGGTAGGGGGACCATTCTAAATTGAAGGACAATAAGGAGACATAGCAACTAAACGTGAAATACGATCCTTGGTTGGACCTGGATCAGAGGAAAAATCCTATAGTGGACATTACTGGGATAATTGAGGAAAACTGAATATGAGAAATGGAATACATGAAATTATATCAGCTATATCACAGTTAGGCAGGTTATTGGCATCCCCATTTTGTGAAACACAGGATCAGAGAGAGCTTACTACATGGTCTCATAGTTAACAGGTGGCAGCCCTGAACCTCCAAGCCCGTACTCAGCCCCCGACACTTGAGCACAGGCCCTCACTCAGGCCTCTTCATACATTGTTGATTCTCCAAGTCCAGGACATTGCCAGTGGAGTCTGGTTCTAAGTAGAAAGGCCTATCACCTGCAGGCCTTTGTTTTCATCCCACCAGCACCCTTATGTGGCAACCCAAGCAAAAGCCTTGCCTTTTACCTGAAAATGAGATGGCAGTGTTTATATCCTTAAGGGTTATAGATTTTCTGTTTCCTTTCATGTTCTCCATTAAAAAAAATTTTTTTTAATAATACAAGCCAACCAGGAAATCACTAGGAAAATATTAACTTTTGATAGGAATATACTAGGACATCTCAGATCCTCAAATGTACAGGTGATCATTTTCAAAATGTTAAGATGAAGGGGAAACAGAATTGTTAACAATTGTTATATTCAACATTTGTTGGTGGTTTCCTTGGTGCCAAGCATTTTATTTCATTTGATCAATTTTATGAGATAAGTGCTGTTTTACTACCTCTTTTACTAATAAGAAAACTGAGACTCATAGAGGGAAGGTGACTTACCTTAAGGTCATTGAATTCATTAAATTATAGAGTCACAACTTGAATCCAGGTCTGCTGACTCCAGAACCTGCATACCTGACTGTACATTTGTCCTGCCACATTGAAATCCACTCTGCCTACCTGTTACCCTCTTCTGCTCTTTTGTTCTGAGTCCATGAAAGCCAAGCTGTCTTTCCTCTGATTATCAACAGAATATTCATAACCCCCAAATGACATCTCCTGGGATATATTTTAAATAATAAGCCCATTTCTAAAAATGTCAGAGTTCAGTTGGAAAAGTCATTTCTTTTTAAGTTTCTCTTTTTCCCTTTTGGTCATAGGGGAATCTTTGGTAGAAAGTTTAAGTAAAGCATTTTTGTGCTATTAGGTAATGAGAAGAGGGAGAAAACATATCCTTTTTATATAAAAATATATAATTTTGAACTCTAAAACATTTGAGATTTCAAATGTTAAACTTTACAGATCACTTGTTGATGGACAAAAAGCTGCTTGTTTGGCTTTGAATCATGCTGATGTTTTATTTTAAGCTGTTTCTGTTTAGTGAGATCCCAAAGGGACCTCCCCATACGGTGAAATCTAACTTGCTCTTGAGTGAGGCTGGGAAGCTGTTTCTGACATTCATTAACACACCTGGGGACATTTTAGAACAGTAGTGGAAGAAAATCCCAGAGTCAGGTGGGAATATGTCTTCAGAGAAACTGGAGAGGGAAGTGTCTGAGAGAGTAAAATTTGGCGAGATGAACAAGGTTGCAGAAAAGTGGACGATCATGCAAACGCAAAAAGAAAGAAGCCAAGCAGACAGTAGAGAATAGCACTCAAGGAAGAGGGAAGACAGGAGTTAGTTAATGTTGTAGCAGGAGTGAGCGCAGATTAGATTTTAAAGGAAAAACTTCTGAATTTGACTGATTACTAAATGCAAAGGAAATTGTATGACAGCTGGGAAGTCTTTCTCAAAGACCAGCAAAAAACAAACAAAAAAAGCACAAAAAATAAAAAAAAGTAAAGATAGATAAATGCAACAAAGGAGGGGGAAGGTGAGGAGGGAAGAAAGATAAATGCCAGCTAATATATGGAAGAAACGGCAGAATTTGAAAAACCATTTGGCAACCATCAGTATATAAATTGATTTAGGAAGGTTCATCAATGGTTGTTAAATCCACTGGGGAGCAAGACTGTGGGAGAACAGGATAGTCACGTAATCTCAAGTAATCACTCTACTTATTATTAGTTTACTAATTAATTACATGCCTTACAATGGAGAAATCTAGCAGGCAAATGTCATATCACCAGTACCATATGTTCCTCTTGATACTGTGCAATGGTAAGTATACAATATCACCTGGGTAAGATTCTTGCTAAAAATGCTTAACCTGATTCTAATCATGAGAAAACAGTCAGACAAATCCAGGTTGCATGTGACAAATGATTGCCTGTGCTTTTCAAAGTATAAATGTCATAAAAGACACACACACAAATATGGGAGCTTGTTCTAAATGAAACTAAAAGGACGTGACAGTTAAAGGTGATATATGAGCCTTGACTGAATCCTGGATCATGAGAAAAAAAAAGCTACTATAATGGACGTTATTGGAACAAACGGAGAATTTGAATATGGACTACGTATTAGATGTTAAATTTCTTGATGTGGCACTGCGGTTTTGTAAGAGAATATAGGAGACACATTTAGGGGGGAAATGTCATGATCTCTGTAACTTTCAAATGATTCAGTAAAATAAATTTATATTAATAAATGGATATATACATATAAATCAATTGTTGCAAAATGATAACAATTAGTAAACATATGAAGGTTGTATAGCTGTCTGTTGTACTATCCTTTACATTTTTCTGGTCTTGATATATAGCAAGATTTTAAAAAATTAAAATCACATTTTTTATTGTTATTTTGTTATCATTAATCTACAATTACATGAAGAACATTATGTTTACTAGGCTCCCCCTTCACCAAGTCCCCCACACACACCCCATGACAGTCACTGTTCATCAGCATAGTAAGATGCTGTAGAATCACTACTTGTCTTCACTGTGCTGCACAGCCCTTCCCATGCCCCCCCCATATTATACATGCTAACCGTAATGCCCCCTTTCTTTTTCCCCGCCCTTATCCCTCCCTTCCCACCCGTCCTCCCCAGTCCCTTTCCCTTTGGTAACTATTAGTCCATTCTTGGGTTCTGTGCTTCTGCTGCTGTTTTGTTCCTTCAGTTTTCTTTTGTTCTTATACTCCACATATGAGTGAAATCATTTGGTACTTGTC